TTTCTTCGACCAGCCGCTAACATTGAGAAGGGTGTCAAAGTCATATACAATGAATCAGCAATCAATACTTACAACAGCATTGACAGTGGTTGAAATAATCTTTCTTTATGGGAGCTCAAACACATGTTTAGGTGTGATGCCTTTTCTCAGATTTTGGATTATTGCCATAATTATTGCGCAACTAATCAATTTTACTACAAAGTACAAATAGTTGTTGTTTATTGGTGGAGTCAACATGTAAACAAGGAAATTGCGGTATCAAATAGGCATTTCTAGTTTTATCATGTACAACAACATGAGCTTCATCCTCAACATAGTCACTATGTGAAAATAAGGCCTGATATAAAACTGTCGTTGGGGAGGGTTTGGGGATCCCCGTGCTTACTGTTGATGAAAAATCCGCGCTTGGCTGATGGTGCTAGAACTGTATTGGCGCGAACTAAGTCGACGAACACAACGGCCTGAGAGATCTGCTTAGCTCCAGTGCAAGTCCAAAGGTTCATGAGATACGAGCGTGCTAGCCAGTTTGATCCTGCAACTGACAAGATATACAAATAGCAGATCAATGAGCCGATCGGCTGATAAGCCGATGGAGTAATTCCAGCCGATGCCGATACCAGCCGATAGCAATAGGATTTTGAGCTATCGGCTATATGTTTAATGTAGAATATGACACTTGATGTAAATAATGATATAAAGACAATCGGTTGATGATGATGTAATAAAATAATAATATAACAGTATTCCCTCTATTACAGATTATAAGGCATTTTGTCCCATCATGATTTTTTTTCCTTTGTCCTATTCTGATTAAATCACGTCCGATATCTTTATTCCAAAACTACCGTCCTGATTAAGATAGGAGCCAAAACATCTCTTGCCTACCGCAAGACCTATCTTGCATCTTCCCAACTCGTGTTTGTGTATCCAAGACTCCCATCCTAGCTCCAATGTCTTCCAATCTTCTCCCAAATCACAATACCGACTAGGGCACGACCGATTTGCCTCCTCTGCTAGGGACTCTTTGTCACACTCAAGGAGTCCCGACGTCAAGGTCGTGTCTTTTCTCCATGACCGCATGACCGGACAACTCCATCGCTTCGCCAAGGAGGCACAAGCGTTCTTGGCAGTGTAGATCCATGGGACCTTCGTCTGACGGCACGACCCTCATCTCACACGTAGGAGTGCTCCACCCATTTATCCGGGAAGGACGCTATGTTGGCGGAGTATGTGGGCGCAACCCATCTTCAACGACACTCAGGGAGGACATGGTGCTAGCGAAGTGTGTGGGGACAACCTACGTGGGCTGTGGTGGCGCGCGAGCTGCTTTGCCTCCGCGACGTGCGTACTTCACCGCTCGCCCCCCCCCCCCCCCACACACACACACATAATTAACTCATCAACTGTCCTTTTGATCAAATTTTACAATGTATCCGCCAAAACTTCTGATTGATCGAACAAGGCACGATGAACTGCTTCATCTACTGTAGCTTGAAATGTTTCAACCATCGACTTAGGAGATTGTTCCTTCTTGGCATTGACTTCCTCTTAGACATGTTGGGTGCAAAACTCGTGTCCCACCAGGCGTGCCAAAGATGTGTTGACGCGAAAAACACACACTGGCCTAGGAGATCCGCTTAGCTCCAGTGCAGGTCCAAAGGTTGATGAGATGCGGGTGTGCCAGTCAGTTTGATCCTCAATTGACAAGATATAGAAATAGCAGATCAAATAGTCGATCGGCTGACAAGCCGATGGAGTAATTCCAGCCGATGCCGATACCAGCCGATAGTGATAGGATTCGGAGCTACCGGATATATATCCAATGTATATTCTGACACTTGATATAAATACCAATATAAAGGCAATCAGCTGATGATAATACAATATAACAATAATATAATCTAGTAGAAACCAATCGGCTCGGCTAACAATGATATGATAGAATGAGTATTGATCCGAAGGTTAAAGCATACATCGGCTGGAGGTCCAATGCCATAAAATCCATAAGAGTAGATAAAACACTGAAAACCTTTATTGTCATCGGCTAAATCCAATATGTATGCAATCCTTGTAAACCGATGCAACGTCCAGATACCTCATCGGCTGAAACCCCGATGAAACCCTTATTGGCAGTCAAGAAGCAGGCTAGAGATTATAGTTCTAAGCACAACTTAGTAGATCAAACTTAACTGATGCAGCACTAAGTATGAAAAGAAACGTAATATCTAGGCAATCAAGCCCTTGACTAATCTTTAAGGTGGTAGATGCCTTAGCTAATCTAATTTAGTAAAACAATTTAGCTGATACCGGCAGAAACCCTAAAGCGAGAGACAACCGATAGAGCTAAATTAAGATACTAAGACTAGATTAACTAACACATATGATAAATAGGTAGGCAAATATATCATCCAAACCAGAGCAATCCAAGAGGTCGAATGTACTGATGCAGCCTTGAACAACGCCGACGTAGATGAGACAATTGCCTGGGCCGGCGGAACATTGGACTTACCCCTTCGCCGGAGATCGAACACCGATGGAGCCCCGCGTCAGGTGCCAAGTCCCGTTGGACAATAAAATAAAGTAGAAAAGGTAAAAGGTGGCGATGCGCCGAATTGTATTGATTGTGGAGATTGTTTACAATGACCCCGGTGTTGATGCGAAAAACACACACTGGCCTGGAAGATCTGCTTAACTCCTGTGCAGGTCCAAAATCTTGCTTTTAGGTTCATGAGCGTGCCAGTTGATTTGATCCTGCAATCAACAAGAATAAAAGACAAGAAAATGAGGTTAAATCCATAAACGATAACCGATCGGCTAGTTGCCGATGATATATCATTTATCTTCGAGCCGATGTCATGTTGGAATCGATCGGCAGTAATGAATGAATAAGATAAGACTAAATCTACTTGGTCGGCTGTAGATATTAACGACATATAATCTTTCCTTCGACGTATGTTTAAACTAAGTGATTGGGATAGATTGGTCGCCATGCCGAGACAGTATAAATCACTTAAGTCGAAAAATACATTAAAGCAATGATTATATAGGCGTTTATAGCATAGCTGGTCAGATAGAACTAGCATGTATCAGCTAATACTCCGACACCACTTTATACTAAGATATTAAAACAAGCAAAATATATCAAACAAGAAGCATAATATACTCTAATGCAATAAGATCTTAATATAAAGGGCATATTTAGCATAACAATTAAGCATATGAGATAAAAATAACTAAATCAGATAAGATCGGCTGAAACTCCGACACTATCTCTACTGATGATCATGAAACAGGCTAGATATCACAATTATAGATATAACTTAATAGATCGAACTCAACCGATGCAGCATTAAGTATAAAGATAACTGTAAGATCTAAACAAGATAATGAAAATCTCTAAGAGATGGTAGATACACAATATAATCTAGATTAATAACGAAATCTAACTCTATCGGCTACTTTCTAACAGTAAAAACCAGCTGATTACAAGTTACATAGAGCAACTAATAAAGATTATGAAGTATATATGATAACTCGACGAATTACATAAACAAGATTAGGGTGTCATAAAGATGGAAGCACTAATCCCGAGAATGCAAACCGCCATGACAAGTTTACCTCTAGTTGAAGATCGAAACCGATGCAGCTCAACCCGAAAGTAAGAACTCATCGAAATAGAACGAAAGTAAAAGGATGGCGATGCGCCGAAAGTGTTATTGAACTGTTGTTGTTAATTACATGGGTTCGGGTCATATTTATACCCGAGATACATGATATGTCCTTGGTGGACACGACTCTTATCTCTAAATCTCTAAGATACACATAAGTCTTTACGACAGACTTTTGCCTAAACATATCTCTAACGAAACTATTTAAAATATCCTAATTAATAGGTACAATTATCTATCTGAGAGCTTATCTCGCATCGTGGCAATCCTTGTGTAGTACGTTGATTGATTCTAGAAACAATTTTACAACTGTCTTCAACAAAATCGGCTATATCGGCTGTCCTCTGTCCGATCCATCTCAGCCGATGCAGACTCCAGCCGATTCCTTCGCAGCTGATGCATACTCTGTTCTTCGAATCTATTTCTTTGCCGAATCCACTCTGTTTCCAATGCCGAACCTAGTTCATATCTTACCAAATTTGGTCGTTAACACAAGGGTGTACATATTTATACCCATGGGAAGATACTAGTCCTTATAGGACAAGAAAGAAACTTTCCTAAGGAAAACATAAATAGATAAAAGGAAAACATAAAGTTCTTATAGGACACTAAACACGCTTTCCTAAATATAAAAGAAAACTAACAAATGTTGCCTAATTAATAGATAAACTGTCATGCCGCATCCTTCTTAAACTCGGTCACTTCTAGATAAGCTTTCTTTAACAGATTAATTTTCATAACCGAATATAGTAGGAATCCGACTATTGGCGACGTGATAATTCTCTCAGGGGCTTACCGAATTTCATTGTTAACAATTATATAAGACTTTCTAGCATTGCCCACAATTAATGACATATAAATATGGGCAATGTTAGAAAGTCTTATAATATAAAATGGAGGAAGTAATACTTAACTAATCACACGCTAATATACGGCTGTTTCCGTGCATATAAGTGATTAGTCGACAACCTTGGCTGCCGAGCGCAGCCCAAGGGCCCCTTTAAATTGCAGGATTGAGAAAACAGAGAAATAGGAAAAACGTAGAAACAGAATGCCACACTTATTGGATTCCTATGAGATTTTAAACACATTAAAATCTCCAAACTAGCGTTTGATTATCACACAGGAAAATCGTAGGAATCTTAGACATACGAGGAAAACATGAGGTGAGACCTCACACTTATTTTTCTCTAAAATTGCTCTAGGAAGGTCCATTCGATGCAAATTTCAAAGGAATTGTTAGGAAATAATCTGTTTCAAAGGGGTTTCCTGTTTGACGGTTCGACCTCGCCTTCACGCTTTCAGCCAAAACACAGCGGTGGCGGCGCGACAGCCGACTTGGTGATCGGCAAAAGCACCAAACCATCCCCCTCCTGCCTCCTCCCCTTAAACCCTACTCCTCTCCTAATCCTTCCCTTCCTCGTCGCCACGCGGCGACAGCGAGCTCCCCTAACCAAAACCCCACCACCGCGATGGACGACGCGGCGGAGCGGAGGCGGCGGCAGCAGCAGCAGCAGCAGCCAGGCGCCGCCCACCCCGCGCGCCGCAAGGTCGTGGAGGAGCCCTTCGACCCCTCCCCTCCCCCGGCCGCCGCCGTGGCGCCGCCTTCCTCCCGCCTCGTCGGCGCCATCGTCGAGAAGGGCTTCTCCTCCGGCGCGGCCGCCGCCGCGCCCTCCTCCGCCCCGAGTCCCACCGTCCTCCCCTTCCCCGTCGCCCGCCACCGCTCCCACGGCCCCGTAAGCCGCCTACGCCTCCTCCGCCGCCGCCCTCTATCTCGGAACCCTAGGTTTGATGTGGTGCTTTGGTTTTGTACTCCCTGACTGACTATCTGCTCTTCCGCAGCACTGGAAACCGGCGGCGAGGGATGCTGCCATGGCGGAGGGGGAGGGCGAGGAGGAGGAAGGGATGGATGTGGACGAGACGGACTACCAGCCCGTGGCCGCCGCAGCTGGGCCCGTTAAGAGGAAGGAGAAGAAGGGCATGGATTTCAGCAGGTGGCGGGAGTTCGTCGCTGACGATGCGCCCCCGAAGCGAAGGCAGGCAAAGCCGTTGCAGCCGAAGAAACAGACTGCGCAGAAAATTGACACCGGGGTCGTGGCTGCAACGACGGGTGGCACCGCACAGGAGAAGCGCTCCGGGGGAATTGGTATGCAGCTGGAAGTTGGAAATGGTAAGGAAGAATTGGGTGGAGCTGCTTTGATGTCTGATGTGGCGCCAAGGAAGCCGATGAAACAGGTTGATGCTAGAGATGATGTGAGGAATGTGGAATTGCGAGGAGAGGGTATGGAATCGGATAATGGGGAACCATCTCTTACCGCAGAGATTAATGCGGAGAACATGGCTAGGCTGGCAGGGATGTCAGCTGGGGAGATTGCAGAGGCACAGGCAGAGATCCTGAATAGGATGGACCCGGCATTTGTGGAGATGCTGAAACGACGGGGGAAGGAGAAGTCTGGGAGCAGGAAAGATGGGGGAAAGGGCAAGGGTGGGGGGATTTCAGGCCCAGGGAAGATCTCGAAGGCTATGCCTGGAGAATGGTTGTCAGCTGGTGAGCATAGTGGACACACTTGGAAGGCATGGAGTGAGAGAGTAGAGCGGATCAGGTCTTGTAGGTTCACATTGGAAGGAGATATTTTGGGGTTTCAATCTTGTCAGGAGCAACAACATGGTAAATCATTTTTCTTTGCTCTTGTGTTGCTTTTAGCTTCTAGTGTTCTGGTACCCGTTACATGTCAACCTGGCTTTCCCACTTACAGGCAAGAAAGCACATGTGGAAACTGTAGGTGAGCGTGATTTTCTTCGAACAGAGGGAGATCCCGCAGCTGTTGGGTACACAATTAATGAAGCAGTGGCACTTAGCAGGAGCATGGTTTGTTACTTTCTTTTGTTGTTCAGTGTGAAAATGGACTTTTGAGTAAAGTTCAAGGGCTAAAAATGGACTTTACCCAATGCAATACAACATCTAGTTTCTCTTTAGTATTTTTAGAGATATTAACCTTTGCATGTGAATGGATTTTGTTGTTTTTTTTTTTAAATGTCATATCATGCATAACTGAGATACACCATCATCGCTTAATGTTTTTCTTACATCATTTCTAAAGTGTGCCTCCAAAATATTGCAAGATAAATAAATGTAATAATTCAGTTTTTACGTTCAAACCATAGGTTCCTGGACAGCGCGTGCTTGCGCTTCAGCTCCTTGCTTTGATTCTTAATAGGGCCTTGCAGAACCTACATAAGACGGATCTAATTGATAACTTTAAAGAATCAAATGATGATGACAAGTTTAATGACTGGCAAGCGGTTTGGGCATATGCCATCGGACCTGAACCTGAGTTGGTTCTCTCTCTAAGGTAAACTGGTTGTTTTCAAACTATAATAATAATTTTAATTTGGATTTGCTTATTCCATGCAAGAGTTTATTAGTTACCAAAGTGAAGAGTACTTAACTGAAATATACCGGACAATTCTATTAAGACTAAATAATCAAGAAACCTTAACACATGCTTTAGTGTCTGCACCTATGCTTAAAATTGTATGCCTGAAAATTTGGGCTGCCACATCTTGTATTTTAGTCATGAATTCATGACAGCAGGCAAGCATTAACAGCATAAGGTCATCTTGTCCATTAGCTATCAGTTAGCACTTGTAAGAAGATGTATCCAGTTAACTTAGGCCATGTCTAGTGTAGGTGAAGCTAAGGTTGTCACATCACAGCCATGTGATACACAGGGTGGATAATTTTTCTTCTCTAGTGTGCTAGCATCGATTTTAGTTTTTGAGTGGACTCCACTAGAAATTTTAAAAACTGGCTTTCCTAGTGTATGCAAATAAAACATTTTGCTTCGCATCAAACCATATATGCATCGATTTTGTTCCTAGCATCTCCTCTTCTAGTGCCTAGAATCATTACTAAGCCTTCAAATCCGCTTGCTAGCATCGGTCAAGGTGTGCACTAGACATGCCCTTATTGTCTTTCTTTTTGCAGTCACGTTGGCTGTTTCATGTATAATAAGTTAGGAAAATTCCATCTATAGCACAAAGTTTTCATAGGTACTAATAAATACCACAATTTTCAACCCTTCCAGAAATGCCACAATGTGACACCACACGTAAAAAATACCACAAAATTTTACAGAACTGAACGTATGACAAATTGAACTATTACCATGGACAAAATTGCCCCTGGCCTTTCTTCAATCTGCATTCAGTAGTCTCCCCGTGATTCCACTCGTCTCCTCTCTCTCTCTCTCTCTCTCTCTCTCTCTCTCTCTCTCTCTCGGCGAGATGAAGTGAAGCTGGTGGCCACGAATTCCGGCAATGAAGCACGGTCCTACCTACAATCCGTCCTCGAGGACTAGCGACCGCCGCCAGCCGCGGAGGCCGCCAGCGCCGAGGCCGCTGAGGCGTTGGCTCTCGAGGTGAAGTCTTCCGCACTCCTCCCGTAACCGATGAAGGTCTGGCAACCATGGCCATGCCTCTGACCTGCTCTAGCGTGATCCAATCACTTGGTCTCACAGGTCTCCATGATGCTCTTATTGCCGGCGGCCATTGCAACATCCACACATGCATCCGAATCATATGTCCCCAAATCCGAACGCCTAAATCCATTTCCTCCTTGTGTTATTCTCTTGGCCACAGAAAACACCTCGTTTTGGCAGGATTTGCTGCGAATCAAGCCAAATAATCCATTGCCTTCGTGGTAATCTGGGCATTTTCTTTGTAAAATGGCACTGTCCATCCCCGCCTTGTTCTGTTCTGAGTTGTGGTATTTCTGAAAGGGTGGAAAAATCCATGGTATTATTAGGTACCAGTGAAAACTTTGTGCTATAGATGGAATTTTCCCTAATAAGTTATAATCTCAGAAAACTGCGGTGTGACCTAATTAACTGTTGTCTATAGGTTTTTTTTATTTAGTTCTCTCATATGCCATCTAATTAGTTTCTTTGCTTATATGAGTTAATTGCACCAGTGTTAGACCTTAAAATGGCCTATGCTTTTTTCATTGTTTATTCTACTTATGTGTCATCACTAACTGGAATATCTGCAGGATGTCATTGGATGATAACCATGATTCTGTAGTTTTGACTTGTGCTAAAGTTATCAATGCTATGCTGAGCTATGAAATGAATGAGATGTATTTCGATGTTTTAGAGGTAACTTTACTAATTTATCTTCTAATTTGTTTTTCGTTGAGAACTTTATCCTTAAATGGCTGATTTTCAACATTACAGAAAGTAGTAGATCAAGGGAAGGATATCTGTACAGCTCCTGTTTTCCGTAGCAAACCTGATCAGAATGGGGGTTTTCTTGAAGGAGGTTTCTGGAAATACAACACAAAACCATCCAATATACTCCCACATTATGGTGAGAATGATGAGGAAGAAGGTGATGAGAAACATACCATTCAAGATGATGTGGTTGTATCAGGTCAAGATGTTGCTGCTGGTCTTGTTAGAATGGGAATACTTCCACGGATCTGCTTCCTTTTGGAGGTGAGGGTCTGGCCATCTGCTCTCCCTCATCCCCTATCTGCCATTGTTTCTTTCAGAATCCCACTGCCATGCATGCACCCAGAATCCCACCGCCATGCATGCACAATATGGGTGCATTAGGTCATCTTTTGTTTACTATATCCGTGAATTGTCTGGTTCCTTGATGTTCAATCCTGTCTAGTACTTGCCATCCATCCTTGAAATGGCAGTGAAATGCCTCCTTACCTGGTTGACACATCACTTGTTTTCACCAGGAAATCTGGTTTGCAGCAGAATTTGTGGCTGGCTTTGATTGTTCTTTTACCATCGGAAAATTACAATTTTGATATTCAACAACCAAACTATGATAAATTGTGTATAGCCTTTCATTTTTAGCAATATTTTTTATTTCCTGAAGCTATGGGCCTTATCCATTTGCAGTTTTAAGTATTTTGTAGTTCTATGATGTCATGTCATCTGATACCCGTAATCTTTCAAACTTCTTATCTGGTTATTGGACTGTCTCGTAGATTGTTCTGTTCACCCTTGGTGCTCTTGCTTGTTGACTGTTTGTTTTATAGTGATAGCTTTATATTGCAGTTCTATTACTTCACTAGTAAACATCATTTGAGCTAGTTGGTCTTCTTTTTATTTATGTTTTCATTTCCTATTCTACGAGAAAGTGATGGTCATGATTACGGATCTTAATGGTCAAGTTTTTGTTGATTCAGATGGACCCACATCCAATTCTAGAAGATAATCTTGTTTCAATTCTTTTGGGATTAGCGAGACACTCTCCACAATCTGCTGATGCTATCTTGAACTGCCCAAGGCTCGTTCAAAGTGTTGTTAAGTTGTTAGTCAAGCAAGGATCAATGGAAATTCACTCCTCGCAAATTAAAGGAGTCAATCTCTTGAAGGTATCTTCTGGTGATATAAATAATCTTTTATTATAGGAGTATGCTGATTTTGTGTAGTTTTGGAAGTTGCAGATTATTTATTATATAGTTTTTCTTCTATATCATTGGTTGATAATAACTTGATCTAGTTATCCTTCAGAAGGATTCCTTCTGAAGGATAACTAGATCAAGTCTGCCAGTAATACCACTTGCAATTGCTGATTGTACATCTGAAATGGTTTCCTTTTGTTGGTAATTAGCTACCAACAGCATCATTATGAGTTTTTTTTTTGTTTGCTGCTTCTGATATCTTAACACATAGCAATTGTATTAGCCATGCCTGCTGTTATCTGAATCAATCACACTCCTTGCACAATGCCTTCACTGTCAACACACAACTGTTTGGTCCCCCCCCCTCCTGCGGGCACTTTAGTTGCCCCATTAATTCATTATTATGGTAAGATGAGAAACACCATAGTCATAAGATTTGAATGTTCAGATTATGCTAAAAAAAATCATTACTTCTATTTCTAAATTTGTCAAAGATTTTTTTTTCACTAGCATCTAATTTCTTGTTCCTTTTGCCTAGGTTTTGTCCAAGTACAACAGGCAAACATGCTTCAATTTTGTGAACACTGGAGTTTTTCATCAGGCTATGTGGCACTGGTACAGAAAAGCCTATACTCTTGAGGATTGGATAAGATCTGGAAAGGAGCACTGCAAGCTTACTTCAGCATTAATGGTTGAGCAGCTGCGGTTTTGGAGGACCTGTATCTCTTACGGGTTTTGTATAACGCATTTCACAGATTTCTTTCCTATTTTATGCCTGTGGCTTAGCCCTTCGATGTTTCAGAAGCTAAGTGAAAGCAATGTTGTAGCTGAATTTAGTTCCATTGCAACAGAGAGTTATCTTGTATTAGGAGCTCTGGCTCAAAGGCTTCCACTTCTTCATTCAGTTGAGCAGCTTAGCAAGCAAGACATGGGACTTTCTGGTATCCAAGTTGAGACATGGTCGTGGAGCCATGCAGTTCCAATGGTAGATTTGGCGCTATCTTGGCTATGCCTGAATGATATTCCTTATGTGTGTTTGCTAATCAGTGGGCAAAGTAAGAATATACTAGAGGGAAGCTACTTTGCTTTGGTTATTTCTTCTGTGCTAGGCATGCTTGATTCAATACTAGAAAGGATATCTCCAGATAGTACACATGATGGTAAAAGTTACTGCTTGCCTTGGATACCTGACTTTGTACCCAAAATTGGCCTGGGAGTTATTACTAATGGATTTTTCAACTTCTTGGATGATAATGCCGTTGAACTTGAGCAACATACATCTTTCCATGGTTCATCGTTGGTGCAGGGACTTTTTCATTTGAGATCCCAGGGTAATGTTGACACATCATTGTGTTCAATTAGTTGCTTCCAAAGGTTATTGCAGCTATCTTGCTCTATTGACAGAGTAATCCAGAACGCCACAACAAATTGTACAGAGCATCTGAAAGAATCAAAAACAGGGATAGCTGGCAGGATACTAGAACAAGGTATTTGCAATTTCTGGCGTAATAACTTGTTGGACATGCTAACTTCATTGTTGCCAATGATTTCCTCACAGTGGTCCATATTACAAAACATAGAGATGTTTGGTAGAGGAGGACCAGCACCTGGTGTTGGTTTTGGTTGGGGAGCATATGGTGGAGGATTTTGGTCTTTGAATTTCCTTCTTGCACAATTGGATTCACATTTTGTTCTAGAATTGATGAAAATCTTGTCCACGGGGCCAGAAGGCCTTGTCACCGTCAATAAAAGTGTGAATCCAATTGTGCAAGAAGGAAATAATGTGACTGATTCAGTTGCCATCACTTCAGAGAGAATCAGTTCTGTCCTCAGTGTATCTTTGATGGCAGGACCTGGGCAGATATCTACACTAGAGAAAGCCTTTGATATCCTCTTCCACCCTTCTGTTCTGAAGTTTCTCAAATCTTCAGTACTAGACTCACACATGAAATTAGCAAAAGCTTTTGAATGGGACATAACTGAAGATGAGTATCTCCATTTTAGCAGTGTACTGAATTCACATTTCAGATCCAGATGGTTGGTCATCAAGAAGAAGCATTCAGATGAATTTACAAGAAATAACAATGGCACAAATGTGCCAAAAATACCAGAGACATTGGAGACGATTCAAGAAGAAACAGAGTTAGCAGAAGCTGTAAATCCACCTTGCAGTGTGTTAGCTGTAGAGTGGGCACACCAGAGATTGCCCCTTCCTGTGCACTGGATTCTAAGTGCAGTCTGTTGCATTGATGATCCAAAAGCCAACCTATCAACCAGTTATGCTGTTGATGTTTCAAAAGCTGGTCTCTTCTTTCTTTTAGGTCTGGAAGCCATTTCAGCGGCTCCATGTCTTCATGCTCCTTTGGTTTGGAAGATGCATGCACTTTCTGCCTCTATCCGCAGTAGCATGGATTTGCTTCTAGAAGACAGAAGTAGGGATATTTTTCATGCTTTGCAAGAACTGTATGGCCTGCATTTGGATAGATTATGCCAGAAATATGACAGTGCTCACTCTGTCAAGAAAGAAGGATCAGCCTCTGTGGACGAAGAAAAGGTGACCAGGACTGAAGTTCTCAGATTTCAGGAGAAAATCCATGCAAACTATACTACTTTTGTTGAGAGCCTTATTGAGCAATTTGCAGCTGTCTCATATGGTGATGCTCTTTTTGGTCGACAAGTAGCCATTTATTTGCACCGGAGTGTTGAACCCACAATTCGGCTTGCGGCCTGGAACGCTCTGTCTAATGCTTATGTGCTTGAACTGTTACCTCCACTAGACAAATGCGTCGGTGATGTTCAAGGGTACTTGGAGCCTCTTGAGGTATTGTCTCTTTAGTTTCTTGTATGCTTGTCTTTTGGTTGGCATTTTGTAGTAACAATGTAAATTTGGGTCTAGAAGTTTGCTTTATACTACTGCTTTTGGGGTTGCACATTACATAGAGTATGCAAAGAGTAAACAATGCATGCTATTTTTCTTAACTATTTGATTTCGGTACATACATGAGCACATGCCATGATTCTTTGTAAGCATGTTCCCACCTGCTTGTACTTTGTTGCATCTGTGTGATAAAACAGTTTCAGATTTTCTGATTATTATTTTCACAATAATTTTGTAGGATGACGAAGGAATTTTGGAGTCTTATGCTAAATCATGGACTTCTGGTGCCCTTGACAAAGCTTTTCAGCGGGATGCAATGTCTTTCACAGTAGCAAGGCATCACCTTTCTGGCTTCGTCTTCCAGTGCAGCGGTTCTGGCAAAGTGCGGAATAAGCTGGTTAAATCGCTTATCCGGTGCTATGGCCAGAAGCGCCATCACGAGGTAATTCCCTCGTGCTTTCCGGAATATTAGTCATATATTTCATAAATCATGAACCATCCTTGATGTTTGGAAAATTCTATACCGCAGGATATGCTCAAGGGTTTTGTTCTACAAGGCATTGCGCAAGATTCACAACGTAATGATGAAGTTAGCCGACGATTTGAAATCATGAAGGATGCTTGTGAGATGAATTCTTCTCTTTTAGCTGAGGTTCGGAGACTGAAGACATCAATTGATAGATAAATGGCCCCAAAAGCATTTCACATGCACTCAGAGAAGGAGCAATTTTTTTGGTGATTGTAAATAGTAACATGTGTCAATGACAAATGGCTAGAGAATAGTTGCATTGTTCGAGTTTACTTTGCATTACAAACCAACCAAAGGAAAACATCAGTGTGTGTAGGAGTGCTCCCGGTTGTGGCTTGTGGGTTACATTTTAAAGGACAATGAAACAGACTGGTGTTACAGAGATGCTAACTCCAACCTTATGCTCCAGTATCCAACATTTTCTCCCTCTCTTGTGTTCTTGAAAGAAGACATTTATTCATGGTGTTTATCTGTTAGCATGCCCATCTCATTTCATTCTGTTTGTATATACATGCTAACTCATTATCTAAAAAGAATTATACATGCTAACTTGCATACATCGGTAGCAGAATGCATCATACGTTTTTCTGTACAAGTTTATTCATGAGAGGAACGAGTTATGTGATGCAAGTTACGTAGAACTATCAAAGCATGGATACGTGCCAGCACTATACCTGTTTCTTTGCAAAAGAAAAGAAATAAATTGCCGTTATCACTTGCCGCATGTATCTCCGGCTGTCACTGCCAGTCTGCCCTGGAGCTTTACGAGCTGTTTGCCCTGGAGCTTTACGAGTTGTTTGCTTGCTACCCTGAGCAACATGCCTGAAATTTCTGTGTGCCTGAGTGGCATATGAGAAGACAATGCATCTAGCCTGGTCAGGCAGCCTGAGTATGTGCTTGTTTGGTTGGTTATTGCTGCCTGAGCAACAAATATGCATGGCCGTCTGTTCAGATTAATACCATTTTAAACAATATTTTAAACCATATTATTGTTTGGTAAATTGATAAATATATGGTGGCGTTTAGTTTGTTATTAAATATTGGTCATATCTCATATTTAGCCAATTTTATCAAAACTTACTAATGTTGCTAATTTGCTAAAATTTTGGCAATGCCAAATTTTAAAAAGATAAAATTGGCTATAAAGTGAATAATTAAGCCCGCAATTATGCCTTTGATCATTATACAACTAAATGAAGTATTAATGGGACGTTGGCACAAGATCCAACTAAGATCCATCTATTACTCTAACCTCCCATGCACAAGCACAAATCTTGCGTACATTACGAGGATTGAAATCTTGAAAGAAAAAGCATGAAAAAAAAAAGAGAGAACGCAATGGAAGAGTCAAATAAATCCTAAATCCGTACATCCAGAAGCACAACTTTTTCGGGTAGCAACCAAACAGACCCTTACAAACCAACGTCGTCCCATTAAATACTTGGGGGGCAACCTAGATCTTCGGTTATCACTGTCCTCTCCGCCACGGTGGGTGCGGCCTCCTCTCCGCCACGACGCGACGATGGGAGGCCGTGGGATTACCGTGATTGTAATCTTTTTGTGATTGTGTTTGGACATTTTTTGCGATTGTGTTTGGATGATATTGATTGTGTTTAGTTGATGGGATGATGTTGATTTGTGACGATGATGATGATGATGGAGAGTTGGCTCGGTGCATCGGCTTAATTTCGAGCCGATGCATCGAGCCCTTTTTTTCTAATCACAAAAGTGCCGACCAATAGATGTCGATTGAGAAAACCGGCACATATAAGGGTTTCCCAATCGGCATCTATAGTTATTTCTATAGTTAGTTGCCCCACACTTATCTCCGCCAGGACCGCCCCTGATCATCTTGATGAGACATGAGTTTACGTACGTGTGCTGTGCCAAGAAGAAAAACATCCTTAATTTTACATTTATCATGAGATTAAGAAATGTGAGCACACATGACTTGTTCTGTTCTTCTCGTCTGATACTGCGTGAAAAGAACTATTTCAAGCGAGACCGACCGCTATCAGGGACCACCATTTGTTTTGATCGCGAGTTGGACTCAAACCGGATAAATGCACGTCATCAGGGTCAAATGGACAATTAGGAAGATTATAGTATCCTTGAGCATGAACAACTATAGCAGAGCAGCGCCATTGCCGCACCGCACTTGTCTTTAGTTTACCAGTTAGCCATGCATTTCAGAGGGAAAAAGAACATAGTTTGGCTGTTCTAGAACAAACACTTGCAATAATTAGGTCGTCGGTCGATCTTTTCGGCACGTTCTCTGTCAGTCAGACAATATAATTTGTTCGTTAAGAAAGAAAAAAAAAACAGCAGTCAATTTGACACGGAGAATAACCCTTTTTTTTTCTTTCCTTTAAACTAATTGAAGAGCACAAGAGGCTGAGAGGGGACACGTAGTACGATCGAGCACGAAGCCACGAACAAGTTGGGAACGGAGTCAACAAAAAAAAGTCAGAAACCACGAGTGATCTGGACTTGTGAAGGTAGGAGATAGAAGGAGAGACGAAGATGATGCCTCGGACTCAAATACGGGCGGTTTGAAGATGATGCCGCCATCGCCAGGAGAGGAGAGGAGACAGGCGCGTCTTAGCTAAGCCTTGCCGGCTGTCAGCTGCCATGAACCACCGACACACAGAGCAAGGAAACACACGCAGAAAAGCAGCATGTAGTTGTTTTTTTTTTAAAAAAAGAAGCAGCTAGCATGCATTGGCACTAGTAATGTGGTGTTTGAAACCGATGAAAATAAAGAGTAAGTTATCGTACGTAAAACGTGAAACCTATTATTACCTCCGTCCCATATAAACTGCAACTATGCTCTCAGGCTTTGTCTCAAAAAACTATAATTCTAATCACGTAAGACCTAGCAAATTGATTAATCTAAATATGTTTCATATAGTCTCCTAACATTTCATTCCACAATCTTCCTTTTAATCTAAAAATGTTTCCTTAATTGTCTCAAACTTCCTTTAATCAATTTTATATATATAGAATGTGTGCATCTTTTGTGTTCATTAAATATGATTATTATAGTCATTTTTCAATCCTACTATTTTGTCCTAAATTAGATAGAAGTGCAATTTATATAGGACGGATGTAGTAGTAAATAATTAATTAGTTTTAATTATTATAAACTTGAAAATGAATATATTTGTATTTTAAAGCAACTTTTATATATAAATTTTTTGCACAAAACGTACTGTTAAATAGTCTGAAAAAAAACGTGCGGTAGAAACTGCTAATTCTAAAGCTTCCCATAAGGAGAAGACAACTACGCAGAGAGAGAGAGAGAGAGTATTCATTAGTCAATGTGCGTAAGCGTAACTTTCAGAATTCATTAGTACAAGACCTGGGAATTTTTTTTTACCAGAAGACCTGGGAAATTCGCCCGCAGATCAATGGAAAGGGGGCCTCGTGGATTTTTCTCGTTTATCCCGAGGAAATGAAATACTCCCTTCATCCCAAAATATAGGGCGCTCTCTTTTTAAGAAAAATTAAACCCGATAACTTTTGACTAACAATCACACTAACCATATATATGCTAAGTATTATGCATGTTATATCACTAGATTCATATTTTAAAGTACTTTCATGTAATGCTAATTTCATATTCGTTAGTAACATAATATGGAATAAATTAATGGTCAAAGTATATCATTGAAGACCGTGTAAAAAAATATATGCCTTATAATTTGGGACATAGGGAGTAATACTTCACTGTATTGCTTCCAATCTTGACTATCGATGTTTGGTTTCGTGGGGGTCCTTTTTTATTTATTTAGAGTGTGTTTTAGATTCAGGGGTGTAAAATTTTAGCGTGTCACATCGGATATTATGTGGGGTGTCACATGAGGTGTTCGGGCACTAATAAAAAAAACTAATTACAGAATCCGTAAACTGCGAGACGAATTTATTAAGCCTAATTAATCTGTCATTAGCAAATGTTTAATATAGCATCACATTGTCAAATCATTGAGAAATTAGGCTTAAAAGATTCATCTCGCAAATTAGTCGCAATCTATTCAATTAGTTATTTTTTTACCCTATATTTAATACTTCATGTATGTGTTTAAATGTTCGATATGATAGGGTGTAAAATTTTGAGGTGGGATCTAAACAGGCCTACGAGAACTCATATATACATGTTCCATCACCGTACATTTTATCACATAGCTAGCTTTTCATACCCCTGTCACGTATAATTATGGGTGTGTTTAGTTCACGCAAAAATTAAAAGTTTGATTGAAATTGGAACGATGTGATGAAAAAGTTGGAAGTTTATGTGTGTAAGAAAGTTTTGATGTGATGGAAAAGTTGGAAACTAAACCAGGCCCATGTAAGAATATATAAGCTCTACCTCCTCCGTTTCATATTATAACTAGCTTTGACTTTTTTTTGTCAAACTTTTTTAGTTTGACTAAATTTATAGAAAAATTTAGCAACATCTATATATAATACCAAATTAGTTTCATTAAAACTATAATTTAATATATTTTGATAATATGCTTGCTTTATGTTAAAAATATTACGATATTTTTCTCAGATTTCAAGACAACATTCATGAAAGCTATACTACTTTTTGTCGATAGCCTTATTGAGCAATTTGCAGCTAGCTGTTCCCATTTGGAGACATTAATTACTTGCATCGGAGTGTTGAATCCACAATTCGCCTTGTGGCTTGGAATGCACTACTGTCTAATACTTATGTGCTTGAACTGTTATTAATTACCTCCTCTGGAAAAAATGCATTGGTGACGTCCAAGGATACTTAGCTTCTTGAGGTATTTGTTTCTTAAGTTTTTTCATTGCTTTGTCTTTTCGGTGGCGTTTTTGGTAGTATAATTAACTGCGTAAATTTCGTTTTAGAAGTTTGCTTAATTTATACTACCTCCGTTTCAGGTTATAAAACTTTCTAGTATTGCCCACATTTATATACTCCCTCCGTTTCGTTTTGTTTGTCGTTTCCGACAGCTTCGGCGAGATTAAGGTTGACGTGAATTTACCCTTTTGCCCTTCCTCTTCACTGATTCATTCCCCTTCCCTTCTACGCGTGACGGCGGCGGTGCCCCATCCCGATCCCGAGCGTCGTGGCAGGGCCGACGGCGGGGACGGCGGTGCTCTTCCCCACCACCCCTGTCGCGGCTTCCCCTTCCCACGGGCAGCGGCGCCGGCATCCTGCTTCCCCCCGCCGGTGAGCACACCCTTCTCTTTCCCCTCTTCCCACACCTTCTCTCACCTCCCTCCCGTCTCTTCGCGAGCCTGCGCCCACCGCCGCCGGCGAAGTCGCCGGCCACCGCATCCCGCCGCCGCTCTCCGGCTACTAGGGGTATCTGGCCGACGCATCCTCTCCTCCGAAGCTGTAGAGTAGTGTAGTGGCGGGTGGCGTTCTTTGCGATTTGCCACCACTGGGCAGCGCCGCCGGCTCGCCATCGCCGGAGCCCAGCAAGAAGCTGGCGTACTGAGATTTTGGTCAGGGTAGTACTCACACTGCGGCACTGCCAAGTCCGGCGGCTCGTTGGAGGTTTAGCATATTGGGTTTAGATGATGCTGATCACGTTCAAGATGATGATGATGATGATGATGATGAATTGATGTTGGTTTAATAAGGTTTTAGTGGGTGGTGATTAAGGTTTGATCTTGAATTGTTCATGTGGCAGTAGCTTTTGATCTTTTGATTATTCGCAATATTACTTGTAGATTTGCTCTGAATTTTTGCAAGGTGTGTTGCAGATAATTCTTCATTTTGCAGGAACGATTTGCTTCTAATAAAATGCTTAGTGTGACAATGACCATCATGGCACCAATATTTCACTTGTAATTAGCAGTTTTACCTAGGTAATCTGTGACTAATGCAATGCTGACACCACAGTTGAGCTAGATCAGTGGATAAAGTAGATATTATCTGAACATTATTTGTGCCTAATGTAATGCTGACACTATAGTTGAGCTACACCAGCAGAACTAAATTAAAATGATAAATTCTATCTGATTCCTGGACAACAGTGTATGGTTTACGGAGTAGTTTCTTTGAATTGATCGGTTGTTGTTTACCATGTGTTTCTTGTCTTCTGGTATTTTTTACCATGTTTATTTGGTTGTTCATTTCTTGTCCGTTCTTGATTTTGTATGGAAGATACCGGGTGTTCTTCCTGGACGCCGTTGGTCATGACGAAGGAGGAGGGCAGGGTAGGTAGACGTCGCAAATTTGTCACACCATGGAAGAAAGCGGCTCAGGAGGTCGGCGACGGCGGTGCAGAGGATCGTGTCGAGCGCCTCGCTGCCGCGGCTTTGTCCTCAACTGCTCTCTCTCCAAGGTTCGTATTCGATTTTTTTTCGATGATGTATTTTGTGTTCCTAAAATGTGTTATTTTCAGGAAAACTCTATAGATGCTCACTATTGCGAGGTTAAATGAATTTTCACATCTAACCTCACATAGTTCAGTTCATGGCTACTGCTTGTGCAAAATTCGATTAATTAGAGCAAGGAAATAGCACTGTATTTCTATTTACAGGGAGCTGTTGCTGGTTGTTCTAGTTTATGCAAACATTTAGCATAAGTCTTTTCCTTATCTTATTGCTTCATAAATTGGAGTTCTTGTTATTGTATAATTTCTTGTTAGATCACATGGTTGTCTGTCCAGTTATGCTATACAACCAGTACTAGATGTCTTACAGAATGGATGCTTTTATCTTTTCTCAGAACCTTACTATGCTTTTCACTCTTAACATTTGATGCAACTTATAATCCAAAATGTGCATTCATGACAACTTCGTTGCAACACCTTTTGCAGGGTTACACTAGATGGGTCCAATGTTGGAGGGAAAAGAGGCAAAAAAAGGAAGTCTCCCTGCGTGGCAATGCCATTCTTTAGAACCCCGTTGAGCAGAATGTTACTGTCCCCTAGCATACGGATAAGGTCTCCTTCTATACAACAACGAACATCACCTTCTGCTACAACCCATGGAATTTGTCAAGGTCGAGAGCAAAGAACAATGGATATTGATTTAAATTTGGAACCGGGAGATACATATGCTGCCACAGATCCCGGAGAGGCTGGATTTGATCACAGTGCTGCCAAAGATGCTCAAGGCAATGGAGAGGCTAGATTCGATCACAGTGCTGCCATAGATGCTCAAGGCAATGGAGAGGCTGGATTTGATCCCTTCGATTCAAATGCTGATGATGATGTCCTAGTCACTCTAGAGGAGATAGGTGTTGACCCTGGCCAGGAGAATGTACAGCCTCAGTTTGATCCTTTCTTCGATTCTGATGTTGATGATGCTATCCTAGTTCCTCAGGAGAATACACACAAGAATGTCGTGCTTGATAATGACAAACGGAGAGCAATCTTTGACGCCATGCTTGTAAAGGCAAGAAAAGGATATTTGAAGGGCCATGAGAGCAAGGAGGTTTCAGCTAAATTCTCGGTGCCTATCAGGACAGTACAGCGGATATGGAAAAAAGGCAAAAGCTGTTTGGATCAAGGTATTTCAGTTGATGTTGCGAGTGGAAGATCTAGGTGTGGCAGAAAGAAGAAGGTGGTGGATGTGTCCTGTCTCGAAGATATTTCAATATTGAGCCGCACCACAATACAAGATGTAGCTACTCAACTTGGTGTTAGCACGAGTAAGGTCTACAGAATGAAAAAAGAGGGTGCTATAAAGCGTGTATCTAGCTCATTGGATCCCCACTTGACAGACCAAAACAAAATTGATCGGCTGAAGTGGTGTATTGAAATGCTTGACCCAAGGAGTGTGCCTCACAATCTTGTCTTCAAACCACTGTTTGATTTCATTTTCATAGATGAGAAGTGGTTCAACATTACGAGGAAGACTGTGCGATATTACGCAGCTCCAACTGCCTCGCGTCGCATCAGGACAATTCAAAACAAAAACTTCATCCCAAAAATAATGATCTTAACAGCTCTCGCCAGACCAAGGTTTGACTCAAATGAAAATTGGATGTTTTCCTTTTGTGACATACACAGCTGCAAAGAGGTCAAGTGTGAACCGTCCTGCAGGGACAATCGAGATGAAGCCCATTGAGTCAATCACAAAGGAGGTAATCCGAAGCTTCATGATAGAAAAGGTATTGCCAGCTGTTCGGGCTAAGTGGCCTCGTGAAGACGCTGGCAAACCTATATACATCCAGCAGGATAATGCTCGGCCTCATATTGCACCGGACGACAGAATGTTTTGTGAGGCCGCGAAGCAAGACGGCTTTAACATCAAACTTGTTTGCCAGCCGGCAAATTCCCCATATTTGAATGTCTTGGATCTGGGTTTCTTCAACTCCATTCAGTCCATCCAGTACAAATCAGCCTCAACAACAACAGAAGAACTTGTAGCCGCCATCGATCGAGCATTTGAAGATTATCCAGTGAGGCTATCAAACAGGATTTTCTTGTCTCTTCACGCATGCATGAGGGAAGTCATAGAAGTACTCGGTGACAACTCCTATGATCTTCCACACATAAAAAAAGGAGTGCTTGAAAGGCAAGGTCGCCTTCCTTTGCAACTAAGGTGTGATGCTAAGTCAGTAAATAATGCTAACAATTATCTCAGGTAAACTACTTTGGTTATATTTTATTTTCATGAAAATCGCTTCATGTGCCTAACTAGTTTGATGTGTGCTAATTAGTGGCATTCTTTTTACTCCTTTTCAGGACCATGGCAGATACCTGATATGAATTTGTTTGTTGCTGCAGCAGGGTGCGGATATGAAATTGCTGCTAAGCTAATCTGAAATTTTTGGTGTTGCTGCTGTTGCTGTTGCTGCTGTTGTTGATATCTGAAATTGTTGGTGTTACTGCTGTTGCTGATATCTGAAATTGTTGGTGCTGTTGTTGATCTGAACAGAATGAATTGGAGGCTTTCTTTTTTTTCTCTCTTTTTCTAGAAAGTAGCCCATGTGTGCAGTCATTCTGTGCAGAACATGTCCTTTGATTTTTGAGAAAGCAGGAGGATATATGGACCTGAATATGTCCTTTGATTTTTTTATTAGTATTTTTATTTCACATGAACACATTAGCTAAGCTTATCTAAGATCAATGGTGTGAACTGTCAATGGTCCTTTGATATAATTACAGACTAGCTATCTCAATTTACAAGAAATAGCAACTGGGATGGCAGCAGCCACTTTACAAGCTCTGTGTCTGAATACTCTGTTTACAGACTAGCTATCTCAATTTACAAGAAACATCAGCTGGGATGGCAGCAGCCACTTTACAAGCTTGGTGTGCATCTCTGAATCTGTATCTCAAGTTCCAATTTTTGTTTCCAATTTCTCATTATAACATCCAAAATTCCCACGCATATTACATCACTGACAGTACTAAGCACTAATCATCTGATCAAATACACAACAATCAGTCCCCAGTGAACACGACCAGAATTTCCCAGAAACAGAAAAATTTCCCCTTCGATGAACATCAAATAGCCAAGCAAATGCAATGTGCATTCTCTAAAAAACGAACATCAACAATCAACATACGGCTAACCAAATCAGACAATCTGCAGGCCGTTCAGTAGCTTAATCTGCAATCAAGTGCACAGCTATCTTAACCGGATGAAATAATCAGGTAAATTCTGGACATCCAGCTGAAGAAAGAAAAAAGAAAGGAGGAGACTTGTGGCAATGGAGCTTTTCGAAGCCCGGCGATCTCCTGCACCAACGAGACGTGCACCAGCACCGTCCTCCACGCCATGTATCAGCCTGCGAACCCGCCGCCGCCGCGAGCAGCGAACGAAAGAATCAGGGAAAAGCCCTCGAGCCAAAGCCGAATCGAGAGGAGGAGAGGGCAGCCGTACTGAGGGCGATGATGGAGAGGACGAAGGCGAAGGCGAGGAGCGGCCGGAGGACGGAAGACGACGGCGATCTCCCACGCTGCCGCCGCCAGCGTGGCTCCTCCTCCGGCCATGGTGCCGCGGCGGCGCTTCGTCGGCGGAAGGGGACTATGCGCGTGGGAGGCGGCGCCGGACTTGAGCGCCATGCGTGGAGGGCCTCGCCGTGGCAGGGGCAGGAGGACCGCCGGCGGAGGAGCTCCTCCTGCTTCTCCGCGCCGCCGACTGAGGGGTAAAGATGGAAACGGTATCGGCCGGTGTACTACGACGTCAAACATTTTGACTCTTTTTGAAATGAGCTACAGCGACAAACAAAACGAAACGGAGGGAGTATATGTTAATGAATCTAGAAATACTAGAAAGTCTTATAATATAAAATGAAGAAAGTAACTATTTTGGGCTTGCACATTACACACCTCTAGGATACACACCTGCATGCTATTTTCCTGAGCTGCATGCCTTGATTCTTTGTATGCTTGTTCCCATCTTCATGTGTGTACTTTCCTGCATGCGTCTGCGATAAAACAGTTTCATATTTTGCAATTCTTATTTTCACATTAAATTTGTAGGGTGACGAAGAAATTTTGGAGTCATATGCCAAATCATGGACTTCTGATGTCCTTGACAAAGCTTTTCAGCAGGATTGTATGTCATTCACAATAGCAAGGCATATGGCTTCGTTTTCCAGTGCAGCGGTTCTATCAAAGTGCGAAATAAGCTGGTTAAATCGCTTATCCCGGTGCTATGCCCAGAAGCGTCATCGATCATGAGGTAAATGCTCTCCTGCTTTCAGGAATATTACTTGTATATCTTTGTGTTGTATTTCTTAAATTGATCATGTGCCATCCTTGATGTTCGGAAAAAAAAATCATACCGCAGGACGTGCTCAAAGGTTTTGTTCTGCAAATTGCACAAGATTCACAATGTAGTGATGAAGTTAGCTGAAGATTTGAAATCTTGAAGAATTCTAGCTTGCGAGATGCATGAATTCTTCTCTTTTAGGTGAGAATCCAGAGATTAAAGACATCGATTGATCGATCGATAAATGGCCCAATTAAAAACGTTTCACATGCGCTAAGGCGCAAAAGTCTTGGCGATCGTACATAACATAATATGTGCCAACGACAAATTAAACAACTAGAGAATCATAGTTGCGGTTGACGAGTACAAACCTGGCGCTACAAATAAAACTGACAACAACATGCTGAAGGCCTAGCTAGAACTGTTACATGGACGCTTGGCCCATTTCGCCCCATCAGAATTATGGATTTGTGGATTACATTTTGAGGACAAGAACCATCAATTGGTGTCGCTGGTGGTAATCCTGATGCAGTACCGAACACTTTTTCTTGTTTTTGAAAAATTGTCGTCTCGTCTGTTAGCATGCCTGTCTCATTTCATTCTGTTTATATAGTACGGAGTATATGTTGAATGCATCATCAGTTTTTTTTGCATGTTTATTCATGAGATGATGAAAGAGTTATGTGATGTAACTTCACATCACATGATCACATCGAACTAGAGAATGAATGCGTGCCACCACTACACCATTTTTAATTTTGCAAAAGAAAACAAACAAGTTCTGCCATTATCATTTGTAGTATGTACTACGTACTAGTATAACTCCATATATAGGTACTACTCCACTATGCTCGGTTCTCGCCGGTCTGAAGCTTCACAGATCGATCAACGTCACAGTTGTCACCTTGGAAAGTTCAAGCAGAATGGGACCAAATTGGCAAGTAGATCAGCGAGAGGCATCGGGGAAGATGGCTGGGTACTTCTTCACCAACTTCCATGTGGACGATCACTACCAACTTCTTCTGCAAACACAAGCAGTTTCATCTCTTATGCTACTACTACTCCTCCAATGCAATGTCATGAACCCAATTTTTATGGCTATGGCCTGTGAGTCCTGACCAATCATGAGCCCGGGACAAGATTGATTACTCCTAATTAATTCATGATTCACTACTCCAGCCCGGGAGTAGACCGTGAGCTAGACCCAGCAGCGACTAGTACGGATACCACGTACTACGTTTTGAGCAACGCGTCAACATGGAGACTGACTTTGACGTCAAACCAAGCTATACCTAACTACTGGTCGGCGTTGTCGCCATTAACCCCATGGAGCCAACCAGACAGCTAGCTAACTATGTACGAATCAATAGTAATCCATCCATCAAACATATTTCTAGGTTGTTTAACATCAATTGAGATTGATGAAAAAAAACTTATTAAATAAGAGATGAATATAGGTGAGTTTTGTTTTTGGGAGAGAGAGGTGGGAGTTTAGTTGGGAGAGGATAAATAGTAGTGTAGAAATGCTTACATTCTTGAATAAAATTTAAATGCTTTAAATGTTTATATTGTTGGACGGAGGGACGTAATACTCTCTCCTTTCACAAATATTTATATTACTGCGTAGAAAAGAACTACATATTTCATTCGAGACCGACTGGATACTGCTAGGACCGTGTTGGACTCGGAACAGTTATTTTGATCGCGAGTTGGACTCAAACCGGACAATTGAGCCAAATGACTGCACTGCACTCTACTAGAGAGTTTCATATTGACTAGTAGATCAGCCCGTACATCGCCGCACTTGTCATTAATTAGCAACCGAGATGAGGAAAAAAAAAGAGTTTTCATTTCGCATTTCTAGAACATACCCTTCCAATAATTAAATCCATCGATCTTTTCGCGACATGCTCTCTGTCAGACAAAATACAATCTGTTCGTCAAGGGGAAATTTAAAAGAAAAAAAACACCAGCCATATTCAGTCAATTTGATCATGTCAAAGAACAATCCTTAAGAAAAAAAAAAGAACCGAAGAAGAGGGGGACACACGAGCAGGAACAAGCTACGAACGGAGTCAGCAAATTTTTTTTTTAAAAAAATCAGAAGATCAAAGTCAGAAACCACGAGTGAGACAAGGGCGCTGCGCCGCCTTTGCACACGTCGTAGCCTAAGGCTGTGTTTAGTTCATGGTGAAGTTGTAAGTTTGGTTGAAAATTAAAACGATGTGATTGAAAGTTTGTGTGTATGATAGGTTGATGTGATGAGAAAAGTTGGAAGTTTGAATACAAATTTTGGATCTAAACACAACCTAATTCCCTTGCCGGCCGTTTGCTGCCATGCGCCACTGCCACAAAGAGCAATGAGCACACATGCACACGGGTAGGGTGAAAAACGGCTTGAAAACCAGCTTACTGTTTCAAATTCGTTTCCGGAAAGTTTTTGACTAATTCCAGTTTCAAAAGGATAGTAGTATTACCATACTCGTTTCCAAGAAGAAAAAAAATATTCTAAATTTGTTTCCGTTTTCGAAACTTTCTGAAAATAATATTCAGACCCGCACTTTTTGTTTCCGGAAAAAAAAGCCAAAAACTGAATACTATCTGAACCATTTTCATCCCTACACACATCGGAGCAAAGTGCAGCATGCATGGCACTGGTATGATCGAGCGGTCAATTCTGAAGCTTCCGATGAGGAGAAGACAACTGCAGATAGAGAGAATTCATTGGTCAATGCATATAGCTTTCAGAATTAATGTCCTTGTACACGCTACACGACACGGGGAAATTCGCCCGCAGATTGATCGAAATTAAGCCCTTTGTGGATTTTTCCAATGGAAATGAGACACTACTATTTTGCTTCCGATCTTGACTACGGATGTTTGGTTTTCGGGGGTCTTTGTTGTTTATACGAGAACGACCAATACACAAACTTGTTCGATCAACTGTCTTTTTACCATATGGCTTTTCATATATATACCCGCTGTCACGTATAACCATGTGAGAATTTATAGCTAGATTGGTCATGACCATATAATAAGGTCTATAAAGTGCTTCTAGTCATCTTATCCCCATAAATTTACTTGAGTATAGAGTACTATACATGCATGTAATAGGTTGAGACAAGCATATTTGATACTCCCTCCATCTTAAAATATAAGACTCAACCACTCATAACACAAAAACCAAGAAAACATTTAATCACCTTCTTGATTGGATCACCTTGATGCATGCGAGTAATGTGATTGGGTGGTTTGATGGTATAGGATTTAAGACAAATCAATTCTATTGGACCAAGAGGTGCTAGTTAATGTATGTATGCATGCACGTCTTATATTAGAGATATGAGAGAAAAGTGGTTGAGCATTATATTTTGGGATGGAGGGAGTATATAGATCCCCACTTCATATAGCCATTCCCATCATTGATATGAGAAATGTCGTTGTGCAAAAGATAGGATATATCATTTATGTGATGCATAATATTCAATCCATTAGAAAGATTACTAATGTTAACCACATGCTAAGGGAAGAGGAAAGTAAAGATGGACCTCCAACATCCAAAGTTTGATAAAAATTTAGGATGGGTTTTATTTACTAAAAAGAAAAAGTCCAAATACACCCCTAAACTTTGATGGAAGTTCATTTATCACCTAAACTTTAAAACCGGACATTTTAAAACCGGACATTTAGATCCTTAAACTTTACAATACCATTTATATAGCCCTCTAATATAGCTTTGCATAGTATTTTTTTTTTCTAATTTGTATTATACAGTAGATGAGTTTGATCACATCACATGACATAGGCATTGGATATATGTGTTAAAATCTTCACTTAAATATTTCTTTTTACCTCATGTTCACTCTCACTTAGAAAGAAGTAGGTAGGATTAGGATTCTTGTGATTGGTTGAGAAGAGGCAGTGAGGAAAATTGAATGGTGGAAGGTTATGATGCTGGAAAATTTGAATGCTGAAGAGAATGTTGGTGGAAAAATTGTTATATTTTAGGATAAATTTTTACGCTATAAGTTGTTATATTTTGGGATAAAATTTGAACATTATAAGTGCTTATATTTTTGGGGCGAAGGGAGTACCGTTGATTATATATAAAAACATTATATTAGTTATTCAAAGCCACCCATTTAAGCTTTCAAATACACAAACCACCAATCAAAACTATCTCAGGATAATATGTGCCGACGGGAGATACCACGGATTATAATCTGAGGGTATTGAGGTACGTTGGTACGAGAATCTACACGATAGGCTCCTCTGTAAGGTAATAGCCCTAATCCAGTTTATATGGTATTATAGAAGAAAACATTGTGGTACAAAAGAGAACAATTGAACTCCGAGATTACTGACGAGATCATTGGTGAATAGGCTTCAAGTCGTCCGGATTGCGTCTATGATGGCGGGTGTCTTGCACTAAGATTCGATGCCTTGTATCTTCCTGGGGGTATGCATTTGTACCTCATATCACCTTTGTCTCCCAATAGAACTCGGAGACGTCGGACCTCGTACAATATGACACACTCCTTATCCTCTCTAAGTAGTACTCTAATACTTTCCACCCTTAAAGAATATTTCCATACGGACTCATTGATTTCCTTATCTTAAATACGAGTCCTTTCCGTATACTTGAGGATATATCGTATCCGTATATTTCATGATTTCTAGGAGAGAGGGTATGTCTTATCGGTAACCCTGACAGTATGAACGGTATTTTTAAGTTTAGTGCGTTAGATGTCTGGTTTTAATGTTAAAGGTGCTTGATGTACTTCCATCAAAAGTTTAGTGGTTGTTTGGACTGTTTTCCTTATGTATATATCCACACACTAACACCTGTTTACAACATGGATCTCTCTTTTTTCTCTTAAAGGATGAAGATATCTTTTCTGTTAGTCAAGTGTAAGGCTATGCTTTCAATAAATATGAAGTTTTGCTCTGTATTAGCAACTTATATTTTAGGCATTTTTGAATGTTATAATTTTAATTATGAGATTTTCATATAAACTACTCTATCTGTTTTATAATGTAAGACTTTCTAGCATGGCTCACATTCATATAAATGTTAATGAATCTATATATACATATATGTCTAGATTCATTAATATCTATATAAATATGGGTAATGCTAGAAAGACTTATATTATGAAACAGAGGAAGTATTTCAATTCCTAAGAAGTTTTTTCTAATGTAAAGAATGTCTTACTATCCCCTTCACAGCACTTCCTATTTTTCTTAAAGGCGGGCCTGGCAGAAAAGAAAAATACGACCTCTACGAAACTCTCATATTGACGGGCCTAGCAGAAAAGAAAAATACAAGGCAACTATGATCAGATGTCGGATCATAATTAAAACCCCGAATGGTGTTTTACCATATGTACAAAAATATTTAAGATGTTTTATCACCCAATAAAAATTATTTTAGCAAAAAAAATGATTTAAGATGTCTCATACTCAGTAAAAAAATATTTTAGAAAAATGATTTAAAATGTTTCACTGCTCAATAAAAAATGTTTAATCACTTGGTGAACAGTGAAAACCTGATTGCAACATCAGGAACCTAATACGTGCAATATCCAAGGAAACGTTAAAGTGCAACAGAGTGAAAAAAAAAGAGAACAAAGAGTAAAACATCTTTTTTTTTAAAAAAAATATTACCATATGATATTTTGTTATAAAGATTTAAGAAATAACCACCTCAATTGTCACTCTTGTTTTCAAACCCCCAAAGGTTAATTTGTTGTAAATGACTGCTCACTCAAACTTGTCCACGTATGTGAATAGCCGAATCAGTCCATCTCTGTCAATGTGTACAAGCAGCATGGGGAACATAGCTCAATTGTAGTCAATTGTCGTTTTTGATCGCTGCCATCCCTACACCCTCATGCTGTTCGTGATCATCTTCCCGCTTCGAGCTACGCCGAGAATCTAACTAGAGTAACTAGAGTAGGATGCATCGAAAATCAAGTGTGACCTTTTGACATGCCTTATGAAAGTTCTTTTTGAATGTGAAAATTTCACCAGGTTTTCATACATAAACTATTTCAATTCTCATGAAATTTATAAAAAAAATCTTCATTCTAAAGGCCTTACTAGCCTCTTCCTAATACTATCATTTTTATTTCTTTACTACTTTAAACACACAGAGTCGTTCTTCTCCCATCTCCTCCTATCTGTTTATATCAGCCTAGCCAGAAAAATCTGGCGGGCCTGATGGATAATAAAAGCATCATATATCCACACGTGGTTAAACATTCCAGTTCCAGTGAGCAGCGAGCCAGCGACTTCGCCGCCACAGTCAAACAACAACAAGAGTGTGGGTCCCACACGTGTGGGCCCACCCCCACACAGCCGTTGAGCCGCCCCCGCCTCGCGCGCGAAAAAAAAAAAAAAGAGCGTTAGTTTATCACTCGACTCGTCCTCGTCCCACCCGAAGAAAGCTGCGCGAAGCCGTTGCCTCGCTTGCTTCCCTTCCCCCGCGGTTTATTTATTTCGTCGCGGTTGACTCGCTCCCCTTCCCCCCCTCCCCCCTCGCCACCCACCTCCGCCTCCGCCGCCGTCGAGTGGTTGGCGCCGCCGACGAAGAGCATATGGCCTCGTCTTCCTCCTCCTCCTCGTCGTCGCTCGCCTCCTCCTCGGGTGGAGGCGACGCTGCTTCTGCTTCTGCTTCTGCCTCTGCTGCTGCGGCGGCGGGCGCGATCGTCGTGGCGGTGGCGGTGCGCGGGGACGGGCGCGCCAGCCGCCGCGCGGCGAGGTGGGCGGCCGCCAACCTCGCCGCCCACGGCGCCGGGGCCGGGCGCGTCGCGCTCGTCCACGTCATCCCCCCCGTCTCCTTCGTCCCCTCCCCCTGTAAGCCCTCTCCTCCTCCTTCCTCCTCCTCCTCGTCGTCGCCGTCGTCGATTCGGTTCGAGCTGATGGGTTTTTCTCTGCGTGGCGCGCGCAGCGGGGGAGAGGGTGCCGGTGGAGAAGATGGACGCGGAGACGGTGGAGATGTACGCGGAGGACCGCCGCGCGCGTGCGCAGGAGGAGGTCTTCCTCCCCCTGCGCCGCCTCTTCGCCCGCACAACCGTAAGTCTCCTCCTCCTCCTCCTCGAAAATCTCCGCCGATTTTGCTCGATCCGCGCCTCAAAATTCGAGCTCCCCCTCCTCCTCCTCCTCCCCTGCAGGTGGAGACGGTGATTCTGGAGGAGCCGAGCGTCACGGCGGCGCTGGTCAGGTACGCGGCGGACTCCGGCGTCCGCAACCTCGTGGTTGGATCCACCTCCCTCAACTGGTTCAAAAGGTATACTAGATTAATTGTTTTTTTTTTGAAAAATATAATCCTCTTCACTTTATTTTGGGTGACAAATCTCCTTTCCCAACTACTAGTAAAGGTTAGAATTTCGCTTTTGAGAATTCAACTACCAATGATAGATTGATAGGGATAAGGGGGATTTTTGTTCTTACCTGTATAGCTTTATTCCCCCCAAAGTATAAAAATAACTGGAAAGTGCATACTAGATATGCTGTGTATATGGGACAAAAAGTTTTTCAGAAAAAAAAAAGGGAAGATTGAGCCCCTTTTTGGGATGGTGTCACTTGTTCTGAGTAAAGGTGATAGGTGTGTGCACGTACATATATCTTGATTAAACTTTCCTTTTTCTGTTGACATTCGTTTCTTTTTTTCTCGCATTTATGCCTTTTGAGTAATTAGGACCCAGGAAGCCACAGATATTGGTAAGAGCCAGCGCAACTAACATCAGTTTGTCTTCATGATGCTGATAAATAGATTAGTCACTTTAGCTGGTTAATGCGGGGGATTTTTATCTTCATTATTTGTCAACTTTAAACTCATAAGCAAAATTAATGAGCATCTCTGTAAATGTAAATCGATTTCTGGCCACTTTTGCCAAATCCACTGTTGTTGTTAAATGGTATTGCTGTTACCTTTTTCAGGATATTACGGCTCCGAGATGTGCCCTCTACTGTCCTGAAAGCTATGCCATGTTCGTGCAATGTATTTGTTGTGTCCAGGCACAGATTGACTATTAAGTTTGCAAATCAGGCTCGAACAAGCAGTATGTTTTGCCCATATTCTCTACTATTTCTTTTGGGAAATGCAATGGTGAGGCACTCATTTTGCCTTAAACCTTTCTATTTTTTGCAGAGTCAAGCGCTTGTGTAAGGACTCAGTCAATCAGTCATAAATCATTTTCCCGAATACAGAAGAACTGGCTGCTAGACAAACAATCTTTGCATGACCACCCTGAGGATGGAACACCAAAATCTTCTGGAGATACGAGTTATGCAGGCTCTCATACCTGCAGCTCTCGTAGCACTTCTACTAATGCTGGTAAAAGTTCAGGAAGTCATGGAAGAAGCCTTTTTGGAAGCTTAGGGCGAAAAACACCGGGCAGAGATGTGAACACGGATCCCGATGCTATTGGCCGATTGAAGGAAATCCCTTATGTTGCCTTGAGCTCAATTGATGAGGTCAGACCTGTTTCCAGCCTTGAAAATATTCTGACTAGTGTTGGCTTTCATAAGCTTTCCATAAGTTGTATTAATTGTGATTCAATTCTTAGCAGGATCTGCAGTCTCAACCAGTAGATGAAGTAGCAAAACTGAGAAAGGAATTGCAGGATACGTTAGTGATGTATGATAAAGCTTGTGAAGATCTCGTCCATGCCAAGAAAAAGGTTAGTGATGTGTGATAAAGCTTGTGATGATCTAACCAAGATAAGGTTAAGTTCTTTTGGCTGCTGTTTGGCTTGAGTTACTGTGACCAGTTTTTTACATTACTAGGTACATGAAGATATCTATATTCATATATTAAAAGTGAATGTTTTAATTAGTTTTTTTCCATGTTACTCTGATGTTTCAGATTAAGGTTCTTTCTAGTGAGTGTACTGAGGAAGCGAAGAAGGTGCAAGATGCACTACATAGGGAGGAATTGTTGAAGCAGAAGGTTGCAGATGAGAAGACCAGACATCTAGAAGCTGTTACAGAAGTTGAGATGGCAAAAACTTTGTTCGCTCAGGAGGCTTTTTCCAAGCATAAGGCTGAAATAGTAGCTGATATGGTGATTGCTGAGAAGACAAAGGTTATGGATGCTCTTCTGTCAACTGGCAAAAGTTGCAGGCGGTACTCAAAACGTGAAATACAGCTTGCCACCGATAACTTCTCCGATGCAAAGAAGATTGGTGAGGGGGGCTATGGGAATGTGTACAGGTGTACCCTTGATCATACTGAAGTAGCTGTCAAGGTTATTCAGCAAGATTCCAGTGACAAGATTGATGAGTTCTTGAGAGAGGTATCCTAACCTATCTTTTTCTAATCTTCATCATAACTGATGGATGACTTTCTTGGCTAGGCAATAAAGTTGTTACTGGCGCTTAGAATTACTTATTTGGTTATCTGATATTATGTAGGTCGAGATCCTCAGCCAACTTCACCATCCCAACTTAGTTCTTCTGCTTGGTTTCTGCCCTGAAATTGGATGCCTCGTGTATGAATACATGGAGAATGGAAGTCTAGAAGATCAACTTATTAACAACAAAGGTCAGCAATCACTACATTGGTTCCTGCGCATCCAAATCATCTTTGAGGTGGCTTGTGGGCTTGCTTTCTTGCATGCAACGAAACCAGAGCCCATTGTCCATCGTGACCTGAAGCCTGGAAACATATTGCTCGACAAGAACTACGTCAGCAAAATTGGTGATGTAGGTCTTGCCAAGCTCATATCAGATATTGTGCCGGAAGGGCTCACAGAGTACAGAGATACTGCAGTTGCCGGCACACTGTATTACATGGATCCGGAATACCAGTTAACTGGGACAATTCGTCCGAAATCTGATGTTTATGCTCTGGGGATCATCATTCTTCAACTACTGACTGGCAAGCGCCCACACGGGCTGATACTTAGTGCAGAAGAAGCGATAAAAAAAGACTCAATTTCCGATGTTCTTGACAGTTCTCAGATTGATTGGCCAATCGCTGAGGCAGAGATCTTGGCAAAATTGGCGGTGCGGTGTACAGCTTTAAAATGTAGAGACAGGCCTAGCCTTGAATCGGAGGTGCTGCCAGAGATCGAGAGCATTCTGAGCAGAATTACTGCTTCTCCCACATTAAGAAGTCCAAACGCAGCTGTGCCGAGCCACTTCATCTGCCCAATATTGCAGGTAAAATTTGCTAACTAGTTGAGTGCGCCAGTTCTGATTATCTCCCTAGACTAAATAGAAACAATGACAATTTTGGTGCAGGAGGTAATGGATGACCCTTATGTTGCTGCTGATGGGCACACCTACGAGCACAGGGCAATAAAAGCTTGGCTCAAGAAACACAAGACATCCCCTGTCACAAAACAAAGGCTCCAATATTTATCCATAATTCCCAACCATTCCTTGCGTGTGGCGATACAACAATGGAAATCGCAGTCATCTTGATGTAGTTATGGGATTTACTACTTTCTTTGTGGCTTATGCAGTTTGGGTTAGTTAGAATTTTTATGTTCCACTGAGATAGCTGTACATCATGGTAGCACAGGGACATGGTTTTGTTAGCTTAAGGGTTGGTCACGTTCAGAGAAGCCTAAAGCCTAACATGGCTTCTTGCTATTCAAAGACTTAAAACAGCTGCTGAATTCAATCCCCCCCCCCCCCCCTAATGCTAGTGTGGTTTGGTGGCAACCAAAATTCCTTTTCTTTTAGTTCTTTGTATGCTGTTAATTAATTGTTCAGCTCTGGTCTAAAAAATAATTGTTCAGTATCTTTGTTCCTCAGGAACACAATCAACAGTGGCAAAAATGAAGAAGTCCATGGGTCGCTGTTTCGCTGGAAATAGCACAGCAAAAGCATCTCACCACTAGATACCGTTGAATGCAAGAAAATTGAAATGTTCATAGAGGTATATAGAAAGCAAGATCCCTACAAATTGAATGCAAGAAAATGAAATGTTCGTAGGGGTACATGGAAAGCAAAGATTCTCTTGCTGTAACCCTGAAGTAGTCAGTGTCCAAGGTGTCGGCACGATCTGACAAAATCCGTAAATCACAACGATCTATATCCTTGTTCACTCAGGAAAACCATCAACATTGACAAAAAAAAATGAAGGAAAAGAACTACAGTTTATTGGAAACGAAACAACACAGCAAAGCATCTCACTACTTGCAATTTAACGCAATAAAAATGAAAATGTTCATAGAGGTCATGCAAAGCACGATTCCTGAATCATCAAGTGAGGTCTGAAAAGGGATTGAATGCTTCTGAATTACTCCCTTCGTCCCACAAAAAATCAACCTACTATTGGAGGTGATATTTCCTAATACAACGAATCTGAACAGAAGGTTGCCTAGATTCGTTATACTAGGGAATATCACCTCCAATACCAGGTTGGTTTTTTATGGGATGGAGGGAGTACTTGGCTCCAGGGGTGACTTCTACTTCTTCCGGAACAAGAAATGCGCAACCATCCACTCATCGCCATTGTTGTATCCAAAAAGCTCGGCGACTGAGATGAAGAACGTGCGCCAGTAAGCTATCCATTTGGTAGCTGATTCCTTCCCGTAAGTTTTCTCAAATATTGGCCTTATGGACGTGATGTTTTTGTCCATACGTTTCAGCCACTCCTCGCTGCAGGAAAAGCAACACCAAACATTTTCAGATACAATCCAAATAAGTCAATTAGCATGCAACATGCTTGATTTACTTATAAGATTAAGCTCGATTATTTTCATTGCCTGAAATTGTATATGAAAAGGTAACATTTTTCGTTATTTTTCTGTACTGGAAATGGTCGATGGTCTTTGGTTTATACCGGTAGCGAAATGCAGACTGAGAAATCCTCCAACAGTTACTTACTTCACAGTCCACTGAAAATCATAAGAGTATTTTTTTCGAGTCCTTTTGGGAGGTATTGAAAAGTACAGGTATAATCTAGTGCTAATAAAGATGCTAATTTTACCCTCAACACTTGATGATTAACATTAGACTTTGCCTCTGCTTCTCAATATCTTGACTCATCATTTTGCTCTAAATCAAAATGTAGATTCTAAAATGTATTCTTCATTACTCCCTAATTAATTAAGTAATTCATATTAGAATGCCTGGGGTACTACTATACTTGGATGCTTTGAGATTTCAGAAAGGTACCTAGTTCTGGCATAATGCGTGCCACTGACAAGCCAATGATTGGCAATAGATACATCGTCCTGCAAGAAGAAGAATAAAATTGACAAACATGGAGTTAAATTGATCAACAGTCAGCCAATAATTAATTTTGTAGCTAGCTGCATAAGGGCAGTAATGTAAAGCCTTAAATATTATGCTGTGTTAGAATCCTAACCTGAAAGTAAAGGAGGAGGTTTGCTGATGGCATTGTTCCTCCAGTGAAGAAATACCTTGTTATCCAATCATCTTCATTGTTGTCCTGTTGAATGTATGAGGTAATAATTCGTATGAAAACTACAGATAAATTTAAAGCATGATAATATGCAATCATACTATTTTTTCTGCAGATATGCATAAGATTTACTTCCTATAATGTTGGTGATGATTATAATTAATGAATAATGTTTCCCAAGGAACTCATATTACAATCACTAAGAAACAGGAACCAGGAGCTTCATTTCAGTTGAAGCCTATAAGCTGTTTTGAATTTAAATATGTCATACTTCAGACAACACAAATACAGATACATGTACACAGGAAAGATATTTATGATGAAGCCAAGACAAGATGACCGGTGACCGGTGAAAAAAGTTCTGGAATATTAGTGACCTCAAAGTGGTATGCAAATGTTTTGTGGCAGAAGTAGTGAACAAACAATAAGCTGTCCTCTTTCATCCATCTGGATAACTTCTTAAGAAGTGCCTTATAGTTTTTCATGTGCTGCATAAAAAGATAGGCCATCACAAAATCTCCTTTGCCTTGAATAGAAAAACTATAAGAAGACACCAAATTTATTTGTACCTCAAACATTTCTATGGAAATGATCCTGTCAAAAGATCGCTCCATCTCAAACTTGCTGATGTCTGCCACAATTATCTCGACATTTGATAGTTCATTTTCCCTAAATGGAAATATCACAATTATCACAACATACGAACGCACTCATGTGACCTTTCCTCATCATAGGCATATCCGGAGGGTGGTCCCAAGAACAAAAAAAAATACGTAGCCAAAGGGCCACGTATGTAAATAAATAAAAAATTGAAAGAGAAAAGAAACTCCATTATTAATATAAAATGATGCATATTTGATCAATTTTATACTCAATTGTATATTGTCTTGTTATATTTATGTTGTTTAAAAACATTATGTAAGTAGGACCACCATAGCTAAAATACTGGATACTCCGCTAGTCCTTATCATTGAAACCACTGCACTTACCTACACTGCTCTTCTATAAAAGCCTTCTGTGTTGTCGAGTTGCAAATCCCTGTTATACTACACTTGCTATATTTCTTCGCTATGTACAGAGAAAGGGATCCCCAACCACACCCGACATCAAGAATGGTTTGGCCATCCTGTAATTGTGCCCTCTCACAATATAGCTCCAGCATTGCAACCTCGGCATCTTCAAGGGTGCTCGATTCGTCAGGGAAGTAACATGAGCTGGTAAATTCAATGCACACATGCTATGAATCAATGAAGCCATAAGGTTCAAGTGGAATAAGCAAAATGCACAGGCTAGATCTTCTCCTAGTGCAAAATAGTGAAGGCTCCAGCAATTCTCAAAATAATAAAAAAAAAGAGTGAAGGTTTCAACCTTGGAACTAAACTTTATTCCTTTCTATAAACTGCCTGAATGCCTTATTATAACAAGGCAATCAAGTATTCCCTCCGTCATAAAAAGAATGCAATCATAGCATTAAAAAGACAATAATAGGAAGGAAAATAACTTAGATGCCCCTCATTTAATCAGGAGTGGGAGGATGGTAGGGGTAAGACAGGAAGAAATTTAAATGAGGAAAATAATACTCTAGAATTGCATTCATTTTGATACAATTCCTTTTGATAAAATTTGGATGTTAAACTCAGTTTCTAATCATGGAAAGTTGGAAGCAATTACAATAACACTTTACCTAAGAGTCGGCAACCCAAAAACTAATCAAAACAGTGGGAGGTGGATTTTCATCCCTCGAGGGGATATTCCCTCATTTTGAACATGTCACCCCAAAAAATCATCAAACAATTAGAAAAAAAATGATAAGATAGATTTGTTAAGTGTAGTAGTGTGTCAAGGGTACTAAAGTAATTTCTCATATCTTGTACGCAATATATTGCCCTTTGGGCTAGCTCAATGGATAAGATTCAATACCCATTTTCTCTCTTCCTCACTAAAGATAACAAGATCAATATATGATATATCACTTCATAAACATGCAAATTCAATTTCAACTGATACAAGTAGAAAAAAATAAGAAAATTTAGTGTGAGTAGAAAAAAAAATAACACTTCAGATTGAATTTGAATTTGCATATTTGTGGAATGGCATACATCATATTGATTTATTATATCATTTTTTTTAAAAAAATAATAACTATTTAAATGACCTGTCAAAATGATGCAATAGTTTCCCAAAGTAGTGAACTTTGTACTATTATGCATGAAGCACGGCACAAACCTGTACTTGAGATTCCTTCCAAGAACCAGCTTGAAAAATGTCGTGGGCAACTCGTAGTGCTGGTCTTTAGCTTTCTCCGTCTCGATTGCGATGGGCATCTCTTCTAGAGCTGCACCACAAATTAAACCATGTGAAAATCACAGTCAGTAATAATAAAGATGAAAAGAAGAGAGAAGCCAAACTTCACCCCCCCCCCCCCCCCCCAAATTAAGTTTCCACCTTTTAATTTACTCTACACTACACCAAGAATCTGTTCATCCAAAACTTACCGTGGGCGAAGAGGAGGAGGTGGTGGAGGTGGAGCGGCGCGGAGGAGGAGGAGGAGGGGAGGTAGCCGAGGCGGAGGCGCTGCGCGAGCAGCAGCCGCGTCAGGCGCCGGGTGACCGCGTCGGGGAGGGCGTTGCGCTCCAGCGCCGCCAGCGCCGCGCGCGTCGCCGCCAGGTACGCCGCCCGCGCCGCCATCGCCATTGTCGGCGGCCCAGCTGTGCCTTGCTGCGTCGCTTCTGTTTAGTTGGAACTTGGAAGGAAGGATAGCATTAGCCCCCCGGTGTGGCTCCTACGGACGAGGAACGAGACACGTCGGCTCCCGCGACGGAATATATCTTTCCCGTTTCGTAAACCCTGCCAAATTCTTTTCTTTTTCCGCAGGGCGTGTGTACGTGTCGAACGTCTGATGGCGTTTTTTCTCGGCTAATTGGAGCGTACTTTCCCGACAAGCCCACCGGAGATCCATGCAACCAGCGAGAGATGTTTTAATTTTTTTTTCCGTGGTTTTCTCAATCACACGCGCTTGATTTTTTTTTCATAATTTTTTTCTCCCGTGAATTTTTTTAATCACGTGCACACGTTCAACTTAAATTTTGAGTCAAAAAATTTTAAAATTTAGTTAAAAATTTTGAGTTTGAAAGTTTTTTTAAATTGAGTTGAAAGTTTCAAATCCGAGTTAGAAAATTTTTAAATCTGGGTTAAAAATTTCAAATATTGGCCTGAAAGTTTTTAAATCTGACTTGAAATAATTTTTAAACTTCTTGACTTAAAAGTATTAAAGATTTCAAATCTGAGTTGAAAGTTTTTAAAAAATCAAAGTACTCAAATCTAAGTTGAACGTTTTAAATCTTAATTTGAAAGTTTTCACATCTTCAAATCTGAGTTGATTTCTTTCTAAATCTAAGTTAAAAGTTTTATTTCTATTTTTTTTTCAAAAAATATTAACAATTATCATTAGTGCTAATTAATGTCATCAATGCTAATAACGCTATTAATGCTGAGCTGCAAATGTAGGGTGCGTAGAGGGAGGGGGCGCGACAGCGCCAATTAGGCAACCAGCGCACACATGCCCATTAGAAGCCCCCGTCTGATGGTGCCAAAAGATTAGATTATCTTTGGTGCCTTCTCCCGGCACACTGCTCTGACATATATTAGAAACCGCTTACTTATTTAATTAGTTATATCTTAAGTATTTATTAAAATTTAATGGGTTCTTCATTAAATTGTTCATCCGATTTATGGTTTAATTACATTGTTGCATTCATTATAATAAAATATTTAAAGAAAATCATGCTTGTTTAAAATTGTTTCATCATTGATAAAAAATTTCAACTTTGCTTATCAATTTTTAGAGAGATGCAACATTCAGAAAAATTATTGACTGCAACACCAACAACCACCGCATGAAACATTGGATACTAACTAGTGAAACATTTAAAAAGACATATAAAATATACAATATATTTAAAAATAATAATTAATTTTATTAAAACATTTTTATACAACATATGAAACATCAAATTATAATTATTGAAACATCATAAAATAACTATTGAAACATCCAAATAACATCACATACAACATTTATAAATAAAGTAGTAAGACACTAAAAACACTTATTGAAACATACATATAAAAATGTGTGCAATATTGAAAAATTATATTGTAGAAAATCATCAAAATATAATCAAACGGATCTTGATTTAATTGTAACGAGTACAAAAATATAATCGGATCATACATCAACCGGATAAGTAATTTAGAAGAAAAATGTTTGAAGATTAGAAAGAAGTCGGTACATGCCTATACATCAAAATTATTCTTGGACATTTGTGGCTTGATTGGACATTCGACTATAAGTATTCTCGGAATTAACATTGCTAAAATTTTACCTAGGTATTATTTGGTTACCAATGTTGCACTTAGTATCGAACCAAGCTTAGAATTTGTTCAATACTAAACTATTTAGCACTACACTAAATAACTTGGCTATATATGAAATCATCTTAGCTCAACTGTTTAGGTTTCTAGTGGTGGAATATGTCACCTAGTTTAAGTTATATACTTGACACATATGCTCATATTAACGATCAATTATTCTTTCAGTAGGCTATGTGCTACTTGACAGTGAGAGGTTTGTTGTAACTTCGTTAATATCAAAGATATGTTGACCAGTCTTCTGGAGATGCTTGTACTTACTGTCAATTATACTTCTAGTAGTAGACGATGTACCTTGTGATAGTGAGGCACCTGTTGTTACTTTATTGATCTCAAGATATGCTGGTCTAGTCTCTCATATATGTTTTTATTTATGGTTAATTATTTTTTTCAATGGTAGATAACTTACCCTCGACAATGATGCATATGTTGTTACTTCATCAATCTCAAGATATGATACTCAAGTCTCTCGGAGGTGCTTATATGAGTATGGTGTGTGTATATATGTTCATAGGGATGAGTGTGTGTACGTATATATGAGCGGATGCTTTTGTATTGTGCCAGCTCTGTAACTATAAGCCAAATAGATGGTAAGTTTTTGGCTTGTTGAGTTTGGGCATAAAACAAACAAACCTAAGAATTGAAGAATGTTACAATAGAACGTTCATGCTAGTGTTGTTTTAGTCAGTGGCGGAGCCAGCGGTGAAAACCTGTGCGGTCATATCTGTAAAATTCTTTAAGTTTTATATGGTTGCAATGTAAATATCAATAGTTTTTGGACTATTTTGCAAAAACCTGTGAGGTCAGCTGACCCCACAGGTTACACTTAGTTCCGCCACTGGTTTTAGTTCCACCTCTTTCCATAAAATCACAATGGCTATTGGTGCGTGCACTCAAATCTCTAAATCTTAAATCATTAATAAATAAAAATAATATTTAAAATGTGGAAGTTATATTAAGTAGATTTTTATATACAAAACATTTTATGTAGTTATATTTTTAATCATTTTAATAAATATAATTTAAAAGTAATGATAAAACATTTGTATTAGAGGTGTACCTTTTGTTTTATTCGTGTTCTAGTGGTTTCATTTGGTATGGAGGTAGAGATTGTTACGAGAATAAACAATTTCTTGGCTTCTTATAGCAAGATGAACCGGATCCAGCGGAAGAAAGCAGACATTGTTATGAGAATAAAGGATTTCTTGGCTTCTTTTAATAAGAGGAACCGAATCCTGAAAAAAAAAAGTAGAGATCATTATGAGAATTAAAGAATTTCTTGGCTTCTTTGAGCTAGAGAAACCCGGTCATAAATACTTAGAGTTTAGTTATTTAAAAAACCTGTCACAAAGCTTCCTAGATCAAGAGGAACTAGATCTGGCAAGGCGAACATGGCGAATTGCCAACCAAAAGGTGATGACATGATGGAGAAAAAATTCTTCACACGGAGATTCAGGTGGCATTTGGATCCAGCGACTAAACTTTAGTCCCTATCATATTAGATGAATTTGAAGTATTAAACATAGACTACTTATAAAACTAATTGCATAAATGAGAGCTAATTCGCGTGATAAATTTTTTAAGCCTAATTAATCCATAATTAGTGCATATTTACTTAGCATCACAAAGGCTAATCATAAATTAATTAGGCTCAATAGATTCGTCTCGCGAATTAGTCCAGAGTTATAGAATAGGTTTTATTAATAGTCTACATTCAATATTTATAATTAGTGTCCAAACATCCGATGTAATAGGGACTAAAAAGTTTTAGTCCCATCTAAACAGGGTCTCAATCGTTCAAATCCAAAGTCTTTACACGAAAACGTACCCAAAATAAAGTACAAACAATTTTCGGAGAGTGAAAACATACAATATGTGCGAGAAAGTTAATTCGCCACGCTCATGGAAACCAACTCGCACATGATTTTTAGGCACACCAGGCCCATGCGGTGCTAAAAAATATGCAGTGTAAACCACATACATGAAACTATTGTTGTATCTAAAAATAAACATATAATAGTTGTATATTTTTTAATTCAACAGTAGTTTTCAGGTTTCCACTATATATGTGATTTGCACTAGATATTTTCTCCAATTGCACGTAGAGACATACGCATGCCCACATGTGTACGTAGTTGTTTTGGCTAAAAAAATTACCCCGTTTATTTCTCCGTCCAAATCAACTCAGAAAAACAAAATAAAGAGTACACTTTTTACTGGGATTTAAAATTTTCAACACAAAATTAAAAAAAAATTATCCAAATTTGAGTTGAAAATTTTTAGCTCAAAATTCAAAAACGTTTAACTCAAATTCTGAAATCTTTCCTCTACAAATTTAAAACTTTCAACTATTGTTGTAATTTTTTTTAACTAAATTATTTATGTATTTTTTTAGAACAAAATAGCGCTAAGCACTCTCATTAACGTTAATTCTACTTAAAAAAATGATATGCTGCTTGTTGCATGTTTTTAGGTGGCGGAATGATACATACGGGTCATTTTTCGGCTGATATTCGAACATAATTGCGTTGAAGAGTGGCATGAGTACTTTGGAGATTGACACGGATAATAGGACAATTAATCATATCTCCTACTCTCTCCTTCACAAAATATAAGCATTTTTAAAATATTATCAATTCAAACATTTTTAATTTTAACTATTAATAGAAAAAATAAAAAAGATCAATTATATAAAATTGATGTTACTAGATTTATCATTAAACAAACTATCATAATATACAACTCTTTTTAGGAATACAGAAGAAAAACATACGTTTATAAAACATGCACGCAGAGCCCTATAAACACGCACACATCCTACCTCTATAAACACCTTCAGAAGATTGGACCGGCATATATTGAGTTTACGATTATAGTTATACCCCACATCTTTTGGCAATCAATCTAAAGGTTAAAGTCACAACAACTGTTTTTTTAAGCTCAAAATCATCCCAAACTCTATTCCAAAATGATACTTAATTTTTTTTCCTCTATGGAACAATGGTTTGGCACTCTTTGGAATGCGCAGTCACGAAAACAGAATCAAACATTGGTCGACATGGGCAATACGACAATGGCCAGGAAACAAAATCCTCCTGCCCAACCGCGAGCTGCGCGCGCGGCGTCGTGCGCGCGTCGCGCGCCCCGAGAACGGCGAAGCTACGCGCTCTGCGCCGCCTCGAGGAAGGCGTTGAACTCCGCCCTCGCCCTCGCCAGCCGCGGCGTCACGCACGGCGAGGTCGGGCACGACGCCGCCGCAGCAGCCGCCGCCGTCGAGAACCTCACGTGCCGCTGCGACGACGACGCCGACGGCCTCGCCGGCTCCTGCCGCGACGACGCCGACTTCTTGAGGATCCCCCTCGGCTCGCCGTGGTCGAACACGAACGCCATCTTCACCGGCGCCTCCGTGTCGTCGGCGCAGCTGCTCTTCGCCACCTCCTGCGCCAAGTGCTCCGCCGGCGCCATCGGTGGCGGCGGGCTCCACGACCCGCACTCGAACCTCTCCAGCGACGCCAGCCGCGACACGCTGCTGCTCCGCCGCGGCCTCGCGCCGACCGACTGCTGCCTCTGCATGCTCGACACCACCGCCGCCGCCGCCGCCGCGGAGGACTTCTTCTTGGAGAAGCCCGGGATGAACATGCACAGCGCGCCGCAGTTGAAGCCCTCGTCCTCACCGGCGGCGATCGCCTTGGGCGCCTCGGCGTCGCCCTCGTCGTCGTGCGGCACCATGGACCTCCCCTCGGCGCGGGACGCGCTCCGCGCCAGCGCCGGGGCGGCGGCGCCCGGCGCGGCGACGTAGTGGGCGAGCGCGACGGAGTGCTGCCGCGCGAGGGCGCGCATCGCCGCCGTGGGGCTGGGCGTCGCCGCTGCGGGTTTGTCGGTCTCGGCGGCGCCGTGGACCGGGGAGGAGGTCGCCGAGCACGGGAGGCTGGCGGCGACGAAGGTGGGCCGCCGGAGCGGCGGCAGCATCGGCGACGACGACCGCACCACCACCTCCGTGAGCACGGACGGCGCCGACAGCGGCGAGTCCTCGTCGGCCACCATGCCCAGGTGGCGCAGCGACACGGGGTCCACTGGTATCTGCCTCTCCTTGTCCATGGCGGCGCCCATCGTCGGCGTCTCGCCGCCGTCACCGCTCTTCACCGGCGCCGCCGCTTCGCCGGCGGCGAGGTCGAGATCATCGTCGCGCGGATGCATCTGCATGGTGGGCATGATCGTGTTCTACGTGGTGCATGAATTGATCGACGGGGGTGGCGGTGGCGCGCGCTTAAAAGAAAAGGGGTTTTGACTTTGGGTGGAGTAGTGGAGAGCATGAAGAGATTGAAGAGGCGTCAGGTAATGGACTTAGTGCCGGATTGGTGGTGCCTTAGTGGCTCAGATCAACATATTTCTCATTTCTTTTCATTTGTGTCAGCAACTTAGCATTTTCTAAATGTCAAAAAAAATAGACTTCTCCAGGGAATTGCATTACCTATTTCTATATTCTACTAGCAGTTTGTAACCACTGAAACATAAAATTCTATTAATTCATCATCGTACTAAGTCCAAAACAACTTTAAAAAAAACTTTCATGCTGAATTTTCTCTGAAAAATACTCCCTCAATTCTATAATAATCTTATTTTTGGATCCTCCCATTTATCCCAAAATAAGGTTTTTTAAGTAACAATTACATCGGAATTTGTGAAATTCGTGAATGCATTGAGATTTGATGATGTAGGAGTATTTTACTCCCCCCGTCCTAAAATATAAATATTTTTAGACTTGGCACAATCTTCGAGATGCTATTTTGACTAACAATATCTATTAAAATAAGATGTTTTAAATAAAAAGAGTTGCATATTATGATAGTTTGTTTAATGATAAATCTAGTTACGTCAATTTTACATGATTGATCTTTTTTATTTTTTTTGCTATTAATAGTCAAAGTTAAAAATGTTTGATTTGACACTACGCTAAAAATGCTTATATTTTGGGACGGAGAGAGTAGTTTTTTTGGTTTTGTATTGGTATATGTGTGATAAATAAAACATATACTTATTTTGGGACAGTTGGAAGTACGTCGTCAAATTTGTAAATTGTAGCGAAATGATTCACATCCCACGGGCCAAATTCTCTTGGGCCCTCGGTATTCAACAGTCCATCAAAGAGAGGCAACCATCCAAGGCCCGCCCCGAGACGAGGCCTGATAGGTAGAGGACAAAACAGAAGCTACAACTTCGTGAGACCAATGCCAAAGCAACAATGCATTTCTTTTAGATGAATGCAGCTATTAATTGATCAGCAAGGAACTATCTACTTAATAACAATTGTGTAAAGATGAATCAATCTACCAGAATATTTTCCAACAAGTGTGGCATAAAAATTAAAAAACTGCGAACATGATCTAGCAAATCCCTGAGAAAATCTAGGCTTGTTTAAAGTTTAAACACAAGGAATGCAATGGATTTTGCCTGAGATTTGACTCTGCATACAGGGTTCATGCATTGAATTGTAAAGTCAACTATCATATTATGATTATTGTGGCCTGAGAGATCTCATACCTGAGATTTTACTCCTTCCAGTATGTGCCGCGCGGTAACACCATCACCACGATTCAAGGCGGCTGAACTGCAAAGGCTGAACCACTGAAGGCAACTAGATATCTCAATGATTAGATTATTACCATCATCATTCATTTTTATATAGAAGTAAAACAGGATTGACAACTCATGTATAGTTCACAAGTCAACCATAATGATGATGAGTTTTGAAGGATACTAGGCAAGTTATCTGAGCTAAACCACATGGGAATAGTGAAATGTACTTGGACAGGACTTACATATGCCTCCTATCAAAGCAAAGCCTCCTTCCTATTCAAACCGCATCATGTTTCAAAATCAAGGATAAGAAATTCCTAATAATCCCATCACCTATCCAGGCCATTATAAATACCTATCTTACTGCAGCTGTAGCACATCAACTTTGAGAAGAGTAACACATTTTTGGTTGAAGAGTAACACATTTGGTTGAAGCACTATATTCCAGTGTTCCAGGAAATGGAAATCCCAGTGATAAAGATGGATGAGCTGCATGGAGAGAAGAGGTCAGAGACACTTCAGCTACTCCATGATGCCTGTGCTCAATGGGGTTTCTTTTGGGTAAGCAAGAGATATAATATTGTCGCCTTCATAGAAGAATTCCTTTCTACCACAACTAATATGAATTCCTTTTGTATGTTAGCTTGAGAACCATGGGATCAACGAGGATCTCATGTACAAAATCAAGGGATTGGTGAACAAACACTATGAGCAAAGCATGGAGAAGAACTTCTACAATTCTGAGACGGCAAAGAACCTAGGTCCTGATAATGTTGTCTCAAATGTTGACTGGGAGTGCAGTTTTATGTATCGTCACCAGCCAGAATCGAACATTCATGATATTCCTGAGCTGGTCCGGTGAGTTTCATCTGTAAATTGCAACCAAACATATTAGTTATATTGACATGAATCACAGTAGTTGTCTCCAGTAAATGTCAAAACTTACAAATCAGAATTTTTCAAGGCATTCTAATAAAATGCAATGAATCATGCAGTACCACTCTTCCTGAATATGCTGAAGAAGTAATCAAGTTGGCAGAGCGGCTAGCAGAAGTTATGAGTGAGAACCTTGGGCTTGACAAGGATTACTTGAAGAAAGCGTTTTCTAATCCTTCCGTAGGCATAAAGGCGGCCAAGTACCCTAGGTGCAGTCATCCCGAATTTGTGATGGGGCTCCGCGGACACACTGACGCTGGGGGAATCATACTTCTACTCCAAGATGACTTGGTCCCTGGTTTGGAGTTCTTGAAAGATGGTAGATGGATGCCAATACCACCAACACAAGGCAATCAAATTTTCGTAAACCTTGGAGATCAGGTTGAAGTGATAAGCAATGGAATATATAAGAGCATTTGCCATCAGGTAGTACCCAATAAGAACGGGAGCCGCCTATCTATCGCAACATTCTACAACCCAGGTCCTGATGCTATAGTCTTCCCAGCTCAAAAGCTTACGTATCCTAGTCAATACCGTTTCAAAGACTACCTCGAATTTTACTCCACTACGAAGTTCACTGACAAAGTATCAAGGTTCCAAACTACAAAGATGATATTTAAGTGACCGACATGTCAAAGGCTACATACAATCTGTATGGTGTACCTTCCTAGAGGAAAAGTCAAGTGGTCCTTATAAAAAGTATTAGCTGTACTGCCAAGTCTTTATTTTCATTAGAGAATAAAGTGCTTGCTTTAACTTTATCTATTGTAACTTATACATTAATATCAAATGTATGGATTTCAAATTTCCGTGTCTGAAGAAAATAGCATAAGATCTGTGGCAAAAAACAGTTGGCGGTGATAAAAATTATGTGGTTATACTATGTTAATATGCTACGACCACTGAAGACTTAATACGCTAGATTTACTTCATTGCCTTACTGTGATGATATTGTTTTATGACTTATCATATGCCACATGTTAAATATGTGAAATATGACAGTTACCAGCAAGGACTATGAAGCATGTTTATACAAGAAATCATGCCATTGTCAGCTGATTCATTCAAGAACGAAGAAGTGACAAAGAAGGTGTGCCTATGGCAGAGAATTATGGCATAACAGAGATTGGTCTCCTGGTCCCACTTGTCATACACTCATTTCTTTGCAAAGATATACCACAACCCCTGGTGAACAAATTGTCCACCAGAAAATGTGTGATATGCCATACTTATCAAACAAAGAGCTGCTTTACGAAAAATCCTCCACTGGTAGAAAGACCATGCAAATATGATAATTTGATCGTCTTGTTAAAGAAATAGATTTCCAAAGATAGGCTCCTTCTATAGATAGATGGAAGTGTATTAAAAATAAAAAAGATAAGAATAGCTATACCCTCACAATCGTAACCACCCGTGTAATCCATACCGCATTTTGATGGCTATATAAACAAAGATATGCTGCCTCGAGAGGTGAGAACGCTTCCACCAAAATTTACACGGTACCAAAGCGACCTCCTAATAGATATATCTATTTTCCATGAGCGCATCATCTTCATCTACTCCAGCTAGTGCCTTGCCGTTTGGTGTACCAGTGACAGAGAAGCTAGGGAAGAGCAATTATTTGCTATGGAAGGCACAAGTCCTTCCTACCATGAGGGGAGCCCAAATGTTCGGCTACCTCGACGGCACCATCGTCACCCCATTGAAGGAGATCGGGGTAAAAGAGGGTGAAATGATCACCCAGGCGCCAAATCCGGCGTACACCTAGTGGATGGCCTCAGATCAACAAGGCCTAGGCTATCTCATGTCGTCCCTCACGTGTGACATTGTGAGACAGGTGGTGTATGTAACAATGATGACAAAGGTATGGAAGGCGCTCGAGGATGTTTTCCTTGAAACCCATGCACATGCGGTCAACATCTAGATTGCACTATCTACTACAAAGAAAATTAACATGTCAATCAATGAATATATCACTAAGATGAAGGCTTTAGGAGAGGAGATTGCAGCTACTGGAAAGCCGACAACATGATGTCTTCTTCATAAAGAGGCTTTCCAGTAGCGGCAATCTCATCTCCTAGAGCTCTCATCTTAGTGATATATTCATTGATTGACATGTTACTTCTTTGTAGTAAATAGTGCAATCTAGGTGTTGACCGCCTGTGCACGAGTTTTCAAGGAAAACATATCGTTCAACGCCTTCCATACCCGCGTCATCGTTGTTACATACACCACCTGTGTCACGATGTCGCGTGACGGACAGCATCAGATAGCCCATGACTTGTTGATCCGAGGCTATCTATACGTACACCAGATTTGGCGCCTAGGTGATCATGTCACCCTCTTTTACGCCGATCTCCTACAACGGGACGACAATGGTGCCGTCGAGGTAGCCGAACATTTGGGCTCCCCGCTCCCCTCAAGGCAAGAAGGACTTGTGCCTTCCCTAGCAAATAATTGCTCTTTCCTAGCTTCTCTGTCACCGGTACACCAAAAGTTGAGGCACCGGCTGGAGCAAACGGAGAGGATGTGCTCATGGCTAATAGATGTATCTATGAGGAGAATACTGTGATACTTTAAATTTCATGACAGAACCATTGCTTTTGAGTGATATATAACAGATTTGTATTCCACATGTGAACGCAAATAAAATTTCCTACAGTACTTCAATTGCCATATTATATACGAACTTCCATGGTTTCTTGAAATAAAAACATATCCATTTCAAAACTCAAATAAAACAGTTCATTCATGAAATCACATATTTCAGATAATCTGAAATGTACACTCACCAGATGTTCACCTTTGAAGTTTCTAAGGAAGCATTTCAATTTGCCGTTCGCAGTTTTGCTAATATAGCTTTAGTCAGGAAAGTGTCAGTTTTCTCAGCAGCTCTCTCTAGCAAAACGCTGTGAATCTTAGATACGCGCCAACATTTCGAGATGAAGCAGAGCAGAAAATTACCAAATTTCAGTGATCTTGGGAGCTTTGATGCCATCTCATCAATCACAGACACTAGATTTTCGGTGCTGCTTGATGTCAAGCAAATGTCTTGATTCAGTATGCTGTACAACAGTGCAAAGAGGGATTCTGTCCAAACCAAATTACTACTGATGTTGCTCCGGTGCTCAGGCATACAAACTGGCCTCCACTCTCTCTCATCCCCTGAAAGCAATCTATGGCAGAAGGCAGTGACATGCAACGGATGCATGCAATCCTTGACAATTCGTGTGAGCACATCGCACTGAGGAACATTTAGCCCTTCCTTTCTAAGAACCAGCGGTAAAAGGATAGCCTCCAGTGCAGCAGCTGGGTGGCGCTTGCAGAGATCCAATGCAGCAGAAAGAAGAACTGATGAAACTGGTCTTTGAATTTCGAGTAACTTCGGCAAGAAAAGAGAACACAGCATAAGCGCTGGGCCTTTTCTATGCATTCCATCTCCGTCGAGCACTAAACTGGAAAGCAGAACCCTCACAGTATCATCATCAGCTTTCCATGGTTGAACTATGCTAAGAACAGCCTCAGCATTCCCAGACTCGACACAAAGCTGCTGCAAATCTTTCGCCACACGCTGGGCTACCAAAATTGATTCTGCCATCAAAATCTCCTTCTGTAGAGCCAGCGCCCTCTGCACGGACAGAGTCCCAAGAGCAGCCGGTTGTGATGGAGATGGAACACACTTAGCCTCCTGCATCTCCGAATCCTCGTCTTTCTCCAACACCAAGGAATCCAAACCAACTCTATCGAAACCATACCGACCGCTACAAACACCAACCTTGACGCTGTGCCGATCAAGAGGTAGCCATGGAAGTGCAGGACGTGTCCTCGCCGCCGCTTCTTTAAGCCACTGCGGCGGCTCGTGGAACCCATCAAGAAATTCCCCAGGTGCATCAATGCCACCTCCCTGCGGCAATCCGTCGAGCAGGTGGCGGGCGCCGCGACGGGCCCAGAGGCCGTACCTGCCAGACGGCTCGGAGAGGACGCGCGTAGCGAGCGAGCGCACGAGCGCCGGGTCGAGGAGGCCGGCGGAGGAGGCGAGGAAGGAGAGCGCCTGCGACTGGGCGAGCGGCGGCAGGGTCTGGAAGAGGATGGCGGGGGGATCGGAGGCCGGGAGCGTGGGCGCCGGGGAGAGGAGGAGGCAGAGGAGGGCCGCGGCAGGAGGAGGCGCGGTGGGGCAGTGCACGTCGTCGTCGCCGGAGGAGGAGGAGGAGGAGGAGAAGGCGGCGGCGTTGGGGGCCGGAGAGGCGAGGAGGTAGCGGAACAGCGGCAGCCATTGCTCCATCGTCGAGGTGGTTGCGCGGGAGCGTGGCGGTTTCCCGCGTTTTTGTTTCGAGGCAAAAGTGAGAAAAAAGAAAGAATAAAATGGGAAATTTTCTGGAGTGCGGCCGTGTTTGGCGTGGGCTAAATACTGGCCCATCCTGGATAACCATGTTTGGATGGGCCCATAAATGTATATGGGCCTGGTTTTCGGTCTGTTCAAACGAATCTGAACGAATTTGCTAGGCATCTGGCGACAGATTTCTCGGTCAAAATTTGTCAGATTTTCATCCGTTGGATTACGTATAGATCTGTACTGAGGCTGTGATGTAGGGTCAGATCGGGTGTTCGGTACCCGTCCCCTGAGGTAGGAGTTTTATTTTACTCTAAGCCTGACATGATGTAGTATCTTTTTCACTAGGTTTATCGGCTCAATGCAACAAAAAATAGCAACAATGCCCCCACAATGTGTAATTATAGTGTGCAAATACTAAACTTACATGTGTAATTACTAAACTTACAGTCCTATATAACTAAAATTACATTTGTAAATTCTGTTGATGTGACATGTAAGTGTACTTACATAGTTATACCGTAATTACACTATAGTTATAGTGTTACTACATGTAATTACACTATAATTACAGTGCAACTATACGTAATTACACTATAGTTACAGTGTAACTATAGTGTAGTTACACTGTAACTATAGTAAAATTACACTGTAACTTTTAGTAGATGGGTTGGTGATAATTTTTTTGCAATGTAAAGATCTAAAAAATAAAATACATGCAATATATATAATTAATATATGCTGATACATGTATAGACTCTTCTAATCTAGTAATCAAATGAGCCTAATCCAACTATCTAAAATCTGTGTGATTTGGACCCAAAAATCTGTCGCGTGATGGATAGCTAGTCCCAATCTGAATGGGCTGTAATTTGTACCCGGCCCATCTCATCATATCTTAATCTTAGTAGGCCCCACAGAACAGAAACATCACTGTCCGGCTCAAGTACGCTATGAACAGTAATACCGTTTGTTTAGGACAGAGAAGCATGATAGTGATTGGGATGTAAGGTAGGGTTAATCTAATTCTTATAATAAGGTTGGGTTAATCTAAACCGTTAATTTGATTGGACTTGCACTGTCAGTTCAGTCTGGACAGCAACATTAGTGGCACGGGCACAGTGGCAGCATGCAACGATGCAATGCTGAATGCATTCCTTGAGGATAAATAAAACGAGAGGAAACAACAAATGGCGACGAAACGACATTACTCTGACAGGCGAGCTGGAACGAACATGCTCTTGCTGTTGCTTCTACAGTAGTACTACTATTTCCACGAGCGTCTCCAAATCGAATGGAGCGTCCTAAACGAATCATCATCATCCATCAGAAGAATCCATGGAAGCAATCACACGAAGAGCACAGCAATCACCAACCAGAAAACACCCCCTTTTTCCCTGTTTGCACCAACCGCCAGAATTAATTATTGCCTGGGCTAGCTGCAAAGATCGATCGATTGGTCAGCTCCATCGAACCTCCTCTAATTGCGGGGGCTATGCGTGCAATATCATATAGAAAATGCATTCATTCATTCATGCATGCATGCAAATGCAAGCAGTGGAGATTGTTGACATGGTTGTTGGGTGAAGAAGAATTGAGGGAAGAAAGGAACTGGTCACCAACTGATCATGATATATCTTTGCTGGATCGTCACATAAATCTGTTGGTTGTTATTGCTTCAATATTCCGTCATTTTCTTGATGGTTGCACTTAAGCTAGGGGAGGAGCTGCTGATCGGTGACACTGGCAGTGAGCAGTGGCAGTTTCTGCATCGATCTTGGCCGTACGTCCAGCTGTTTTGCTCTTGTACTGACTTGCCAACTAACAGAAACAACTCAACAGAAGTTCTCTCTCTCTTTTTCTCACACCCCTCTGTTATGAAAGTTGATTGAGCTCTCATAATTTCACATGTAGGACTTAGTTTTCCATCACCATCAAAATCTGTTTAGTTCGCGAAAAGAAAACATTTGGATATCACATTTGATGTTTGACCAGATGTCGAAAGGGGTTTTCGGACATGAATAAAAAAAACTAATTTCATAATTCACATGGAAACCGCGAGATGACTAATTAGGCTCAAAAGATTTGTCTCGCGATTTTTCACCTAACTTTGTAATTAGTTTTTTTTTTAATTTATATTTAATGCTCCATACATATGTTCACGGATTTAATGTGATGTTTTTGGAGAAAAATTTTTGGGACCTAAACCAGCCCTCAGTAGTCAGTAGTACTACAGTCTACAGATGGTGAAGAACCAGATAGACTGCATTCGAATTATTCCTCGGCAAGACTGCATTCGAATTATTCCTCGGCACTTTTCCCTTATCGTTTTTGGACCAAACATATTTCCTCCCTCCTGACATTTTTGAAGTTTTACAGAGAGAATAATGTCACCTAAAAATTCTGAATATATCGTGGCTGAATTTTGCTCTGCCTGTACCTTTGATGCTTTCAAAATAGATCTCTGATTGTACTAGAACAGTACTGACCAAACTAACTTTTTCCCAACTTCTGCTGTCTATGCTCCGTACATGCAGTTGTGCAGCTATCACACTGTTAGCCCATGTGTGTATTAATTTAGACGTATAAATCTCACCATTTAATTACTGGGAAGGACAAAGAAAACTTGCAATATAGTACAAAAGAATAATTATTCCCTCTTGGTATAAATCAGGTGACAATAATTTATCATTCATAATTCTAAGTGCTGTTCCCATTTACAACTCAACGTTGCAAATTTTCTCATAGAACTGAAGAAAATTGGAGAGAGAGAGAGAGTAAAGCGATCCAAGGCTCCAAGCACCTGTGCACTGATCTCAAAGCCATCATCCACGGCTCAGAATAAATAACTAGTAAAATAATAAATAATCGACGGCGACCGTACACCGGCCGCCGGCAGCCGTGACCGGAGCCGCAGTTCCTGCAGCCGCTCCGGCGTACGGCCGGCCAGCGCGGCAGCCATCAATAAATAACAGTACTCTACCAGTTCATATACGTATACGTATGTACGTATACCCAGCCGTATCCGTATCTACGCCGTATGTATAGATAATTGCTATACGCCCCCACTTTCCTTCGCTCCCAAATCCCCAATTCTGCAATTCCCCCTGCTAAATTATCCACAATTCAAATCATCTCCACTTCAATTCTTCCTCCTGTTCATGTCGTCCTCGTCATCAACGTGACCCCGGACAAGTCGCCGCCGAACTCTTCCAGCAGCACCACCAGGTTCCCGCTAGGATTCAGCCATGATCTTGGGACATGGTACCTGATTAAAATTTCCAGGCAAACAAGAACAGAAATTCGATCAAATCCAGCTCAAAATTTAACCGTTTTGAGTAAATTTATTTAATAATTTACCATCTCTGGGAGGCGTCGCCGCAGTTGGCCTGGCACTTCTTCTCGGAGTAGGTGCCGGCGTAGCTGCAGCCGCCGCAGTTGCCGGAGGCCTTGTAGGACCAGTAGCGGCCGATGAGGTGGCCGTTCACCCACGCCTGGCCCTTCCCCATGCTGCCGAGGTCCAGCGCCACCGGCGCGCCGCCGGCCGGCGCGTTGAAGTAGGCCCTGTGCCACGTCACCGGCTGCTTGCCGGCGGCGCCGCCCCACTCCACGGAGGAGCTCCCGCTGACGGAGTGCACCCCCAGCTTCTCCCCCTTCAGGCCAATCTAAGCATATAGATGCAGCAGAGATGATATCAGTTTATACATTTCTTCTAATCTAATAAATCATATGTATTTTTTCTATCATATTAGTTTCTGATCATTGGATCTAGTTAAGTAGGATGGACATTGTTAGACCTAATAATCGGAAACAATTTAGTACCGTAAGGTACTGGTACCTCGACATACTTTTTATTGGACCGAAGCAAATCCCATCATATTAACTACTTGTAGTAATTTTTTTTTACTGATAGCAAAACTCATAAATTAGTGGTTGAGATTATTTTTACTGTGATAATAAAAAATACTATCGGTAAAGACCACCGTGATTAGTAAAGTAGTACTCCCTCCGTTTCACAATGTAACTCATTCTAGCATTTCTCACATTCATTAGCATCAATATGAATGTGGGAAATGCTAAAATGACTTGCATTGTGGAACGAGGGAAGTATAGGACTATACCTGGTATGTCCATTTCTGTTTGCTGAGGTCTCTCTTCCCCTCGTTGAGGCCGGACAGCGTCACCGGGCCGAGCACGCCGATGTTCCACGTCTCATAATGCGTGCCGACGTTCTGCACAAATCACGGCCAAGATTGAAAAATTATAATCTGAATTCTGAACATGAAAAGTCTGAAATCTGAATGACAAATCTTGAATCATCTGAATATCATGACTGATCGATGAGATGAGCTCACCGGGAGGCCGACGGCGGAGCTGAGGATGGAGATCTTGTTACTGCCCTGCCACATCTTGACGTACCCACTGTACGTCAGCTTCGGCCCGTCGTAGCCACCATACGCATTGCCTGCGACACCATCGAAATTCATTCATTCATCAGTGAATCATCAGTGAACCGATCTCAAGATCAATGTTGGTTAATTTGTCTGAATGTCTGATCATCATCATCATCATCATCAAGAAGAAATTTCAGTGAGAGTTACCGAAGTATTGCCCGTTGACGAACACCTGCACGCTGTGCCCGGCGGAGTAGACGGTCAGCTGCGGCCACTGGCCGGACTTCAAGAACTGCTCGCCGGAGTCGATGTTGACGCTGCCAACACACACAATTAATTAGCAAGTAATATTCAAGAGGAATTTTATAGTCACTTGAGGTACCAAAATTTTACACTAAAATTTTTTAGTACTTTAAGTTACTTATAGTACTCCCTCCGTTCTAAAATGTTTGACACTGTTGACTTTTTAACACGTGTTTGATTATTCGTCTTATTAAAAAAATTTATAAAATATGTAAAACTATATGTGTACATGAAAATATATTTAACAATGAATCAAATGATATGAAAAGAATAAATAATTACTTAAATTTTTTGAATAAGACGAATGGTCAAACACATACTAAAAAGTCAACGGTGTCAAACATTTTGAAACGGATGGAGTATCTAGAGATATCAAATTTTACACTAGAAAATAGAGAAATTTTACTATCCTTTAGAAAGTACCTCGAGGTACCTAAGTTCTGCACTAAATTTTCTGGTGCCTTAAGATACTTTGTACCTAAGATAAAAATATATTACCTCTAGGTATCTTATCAAGAATGGTAAAATTACCCGATCTTCAGAGGTCAGGACCTGATCGGAGATGGTTTGGTTGGCATCGGATCACTTACTAGGTGGTGTACCACAGGTAGTCGGACTTGTCCCACGTCATGCTGAGCTGCTCGACGAGGCCGTCCTTGGTGAAGGCCGTCTCGTCCAGCGAGTTGGTGGCCTCGCCGTACGACTGCCAGGTGAACCCGCCCGCCGGGTTCATCTTCGCCGGCGACGACGCCGCCGTCACCGTCGCGGTGTTGTACACGGCGGTCCTGCAGTCCGGCAGCACGCTGATGGACCACGCCGGGAGGTCGTACCGCCGCCCGTTGAACGCCACCCTCGCCGCCGCGCTCGTGTGGAAGTTGGACAGGAACGCCGCGCAGTCGCCGCTGCTCGACCTGAACACGTATGCCTGAAAAAGAATGCAGGAAAAGAATGATCACGGCCATGAACTTGCAGGCTAAAGAAATTTTACGGTTCTTAATATGTACTCCCTCCGCTTCAGATTATGAGTCGCTATACTCCTCCAAATTTAATTAAGTTGGTAGAAAAAAAGTAGTACCATTTTCAACCTAAGATAAATATATTATAAAAATATATTTAATTATTAATTTAATAAAACTAATTTGGTGTTGTAAATATTATTATATTTGTCTACAAACTTAGTCAAACTTAGAGCTATTTGACTTTGACCAAAGTCATAATGACTTATAATCTAAAGCGGGGAAGTATCAAGAATTACCAAAATTTTTAATACAAGTTTTGGTACCTTATAATATTGGAGGTACTGAGAGTTACCAAAATTTATATTAGAAAATATGGTAGCTCGCAATACTTCCTAAGTACGGTAAAATGCTGGTTAAGTATGAAATTTTGCAGAAAAAAATTGTGATGAGATGGACCTTCTCGTAGTTGCCGATGTTCTGGACGGTCGGGTCGCCGGCAACGAGCGCCGTCTCGGCCTGCTTGATGGCCTTGTGAAGGTTCGTCAGGTGACCCCATTTGGGCTGCCGAAGCAGACCTGAAACACAGAACACACAACTCTTCAGACGTCCACAAATTCAGACAAAACTGAAAATACAGCTGAAATCTCACGCAAATGCGCAACAAACTGCTACCGTATTCATCGATCGGCGCATCATAATCGTAGCTCGTCGCGATGAACGGGCCGCCAGCTGTCCGGTCAAAGTTGGTGCCGCCATGGTACTGAACATAACACATGATGTTTGCACATCAAACAAGTCAACAACTGGTGTGACCAAAATGTGAGAGCCATGTGGGTTCAGGTAAGGTGCTGCACTGCACTGACCATGTAGTAGTTGATGAAGGAGCCGCCCTTCTGGATGAACCTCGCCACGGCGAACGCCAGATCCTCCACTGGCCGCTGCGGCACCGTGCCACCGAAAGCCGTAAACCTTAAACACAAAACAAAAATGATCATATTCTTTTTTCGTATTTGAGATTACGATTCGGATTCTGTTATTTTAAAGATTTTGATCCATGAATTCAGTTTTAGTTCAGTTTAGTTTGATTGGATTATTACCAGCCGCTCCAGGCCTCTGTCCACATGGAAGGCTTGTTCTTGGAGTTGGGGGTGAAGTCGTCGCAGTAGAATCCGTTGCAGGTGTTGATCTGTGGCCATCCATGGCGCAAGGCAAGAATTAACAAAAGATATAAAAAGAATATGTTCAAAAAAGATATTTCTTTTTTTGGAAATAAAGTGTAGCACAAATTGCAGGGCATGTATAATTGTTTGGCACCAAGAAGCAAAGTTGGCAGCCTTGCTGGAAAGGAATGCTGCTGGTAGTGATGTCCTAACGAAAGCATATGGGCTAGGCGCCAGCAAAGTGGAGTGGCTAATGCAAATTTATTAGCTATTTTAAGTTTTTTAACCCAACTTAAAAAATGAAATTTTTACTGTTTATTAAGACGGTACAAAGAGGTACCCTTAAAAGTTAGAGAAATTTTATCTTTCGTAAGAAAAGTAATTGTAATTATCAAAATTTTAATACATCGAGATAAGTATCTCCCTTTACTTACTTAAGAATGATAAAATTATGTACCCTAAAAAGTTAAAAGTGGTACCAAGGACCAGAAAGTCACTCAACTTAGTTACATTTTTGTAAAAACTCCAGTTTTTCTTTGACACAATTGCAGTGAGAAATGAGAAGTAAAAAAAAAAAGAGACGAGGAAAGTGACAGTTAAAAATTACCACGGGGTCAGGGGCGTCGTCCTGCTTGCACATGATCCAGGGCACGCCGGCGTTGGTGGCGACGGCCATCTTCGCCGCCCAGTCGACGTACGACTTCGCGCCGCTGCCCATCACCGACTCCATCGGCCCGTACTCGTTCTCTACCTGCCAATGCGCGGACCGATCATCTCTCATTTTCTCAAATCAAGAAGTTCCGGTGATCACCGGCGATCAATTACCCATGGTCACTGAGCTGGAACGAAAATCAAAGATTGAACTGTTCTTTTTTGGCTGATTACCTGGGCGAGGATGATCGGGCCGCCCTGCCACTCGAACAGCCCTTCCGATTTCATCATCGACACGATCTTCTCCACGAACGTCTGCATCGCCGCCTGCATATCGAATTTATTTTTTTAAAAAAAACAGAGTAAAACAGAGCATCCAAATTTTCTCTGTTAATTTGTCACCAATATTACCTTGAATGGACCATTGTCAGTCCTGAAGCTGATGCCCGGGACGTACTTGAGCCAGACAGGAAACCCACTGCGAAATCCAAAACCGAAACAAAATTTGTCAGAAATCCAAAAAAAGAAGAAGCTCTGAATTTCGACGAATGCTGCTGCTGCTGCTGGGTTCGTTCGGAATTCAGATTTCTCACCCGTAGTTCCATTCGGCGCAGACGTAGGGGCCGATGCGGAGGTTGACATAGAGCCCTGCCTGCTTCACCAGCTTCACGAACCTCACCAGGTCGTACCTGTCGCTGAAGTAGTACTGCCATGGAATCCATCCATCCATGGCGATCGAACAGTTTCAGTTAACCTTTTCTTTCTCCATTTTCTTGTGTTGGTTTCAGACTTTCATCAGTTTGCAAGAACATATTACATACCTGTCCCTGCACTGGCTCGTGGCCGTTCCAGAAGACGTAGGTCTGGATCACGTCGAGGCCGCCGTCCTTGGCCTTCTGGATCAGGTCCGGCCACATCTGCCGCCATGGAAACGGGAGGAATTTGGTCAGGCGAGCGAGCTCTGAGCGATGAACTGCTTGGGTAGCTTGGAGAGGATACGTACCTCGGGGGTGCTGCGAGGGTAGTGGATGGAGCCGGAGATGAGGATGCGGCGCTGGCCATTGATGGTGAGCGACCTGTGGTCGTAGGTGACGGCGGCATTGGCCACGGCGGCGGCGGCGACGAGCAGGAGGAAGGCGACGGCGCCGCCGGACATGGTGGCTGGCGCGCGCGCGTCCGCCGGCCGGTGGCCGAGCTCGAAGCACGTAGAAAGGCTTGGGTTTCTTGGAGATGCCAATGGAGGAAGAAGAAGGAGAAGGAGAAGGAGAGGAGTGGGAGAGGAGAGAAGCGGTGGTGGTGGTGGGCTTTTTATACGAGTTCTTGATTTCGGTGTCTCAATTTATATTATCTGTGCATTTTTTCTTCTCATTTAAATTTAATTTCTTGGTTTGATTGTATTCCCTCGCTTTTGGATTACCGCCATTCTGTTCACCATTGGAGAGGGAAGAGAGAGAGAGCAAGGCGTGAGGGGTGAAATGGTGAAAGCGTGAAGCAGAAGAAGCAGGGGAGGAAGAAGAAGTCTGCATGGGAGGAGTTTTTGGCTGATGCTGCTGGAAGGGAGCCCTGGGGTTGGAGGAGACGTGTGGGGCCCACTGTTCGTGTCTTTTATCAAATTTCTTTTTTGGCTTTCTAAATTTCTGTCTTATACATATATAAGGGGGTTTGTTTTTCTTTTTCTTATTTCCCCTCCCCTTTCGTGTAATCTTGCATTTTCCACGCTGGATTTGCCAGGGGTGTAACACGTCAGCCCAGCTCGATCCTATGATGTTGTTTACTGCTTATGTCTTCCCTTGTGTAAAAGGGTTAGCTCGGGAGTTTTGTATATGTTTGTGAGAAAGGTTACAGGGTGGAAGCTAACGCGAATTAGCTCGGGAGTTTGGATACATTTGCGATTAGAGGTTTTGGATGGATGACAACGCCGACAATAAGAAAGGGTAGCGACATCATGACCGATGGAGCAATTTGCTACAAGTTACGTCTAAGATAAAGATTATGTTTGGAATTATGATCGTCTGAAAATCCGTCCGATAAAATCTCTAGTTCTTTGAAAATTCACTATTTTAAGATCGCCCTTTAAAAGGCACCCAAGTTGTTCGATATCGATAATTGCATAGAGAAAAAACTTGAATGATAAAGAGGGGAAACATGGCAGAAGCGTCAAAAATCTCATTGATAATTGGACAGAAATCATGCCATCCATTCAGCAGTGCCTTTTACTTCCAAGTGAAAATGCATGACAAATTGACAATATAGCATATGCCATCGGTTCATCCTGGTCCCAGTCATCCCAATTATAAGTCCGGATGAACATTGTTCATGAGCGTTTGATGAATTTTGGTGGTTGATGAAGCGGTTACACTCACTTTTCGGTTGTAGCCGTTCATGGAAAGCATTTAAGATTGATGGTCAGAAAAGTCTAATACTTATGCAGGAGTGGATATGAAGGAACCCCAGGTTTAGTCGCTTATGGTTAAAGACAGAACAATTCTGGAAGAAGTTAATTGTAGCAGCATGGGGGAAATTAGGTACTCAATGCTAGCAATCCTAAACCGAGTTTGGATATATCTTGATATAGAACCTGGTTTATTTCCTATATATATATATATAAAAAGCTACTCCCTCCGGGTTGATAATACTTGTCGTTTTGGACAAGGGCACGGTCTCCAAAAAAACAACTTTGACCATTATTTTTCATTATAATATGTATAAAAGTGTTAACAAATATATGATTTTATTAAAATACTTTTTAAGACGAATCTATACATGTAGTCACCATATTTGAAAGACAAATATTTTAAAAATGGTTTATAATCAAAGATTCTAAAGTTTGACCTCACCCTTGTCTAAAACGACTAGTGACTAGTATTATCAGCCCGGAGAGAGTAGATATGGAAAGAGGAGTTTTTAAATCGATGGTTCTAAGAAGAGAGGTGAATGCGTGCGCCAATCTCTGACCAGGTTTGGAACATGAGTGGACACAACGCATATGGATGGTTATATTAAAATGACTAACTTAATAATATTAAAATGGTGGTTAATTCAGTTTGGGAAATACCATATACGAAATGCGTTGTATATATATATTTTTTACATAATGAGAAATACAGTATATACCTCATGTCAAAATGTGATGATGTTTCGTAGTCGCACAAAATCAGTCATTTTTCCGACGAATAGTTAAAGCAGAAATGCCTAATTCCCTTCATCCAAAGCTTAGCCTTTTTTTAGGGTAAAAGTTGTGCTTCTTAAAGGTGTAGCAACTCGTAACTAACCCCATGACTTTTTGCAAATTGTGAGAGGTGAAACTGAGCTTTCAGATAAGGCATAAAAAAAAAAGCGAAGCTACATGCCTATAGCTTCAACGCATGCAATGCAGTTCCGTTATTTTCGAAATCCTCAGAGAGATCGCCAGTTTCAATGCAAAAGGACTGCACGGTGAATGCGTGTGCGTGTTGCCACGCGCTGCACACGTGGCAGGTTTTGGGAGTGGACACGTGTCACAGCTCCGGGACAAGAGTGACAATCAGCTTAATTATCAGCCTAGCCGAAGATGACAGTCCAACGTACACATAATACAAATGAGAAACGATATAAAGCCTCATTTTTCATAGTTATGAAAACATAGGCTACGCAGGATTACTGTATCTGGAATATCAGTAAAGTTGTAATTACATGACTCCACTAATTAGGGGTTAAATTTTGACGAAACACTCAGCTTTATTTACGTGGGCCGTTTAGCACAGCTACAGCTTCACCTCTTCTAGGACTGGAGTCCAGCCAAACAGTTTCAGCTCCACTTAAAATAGAAGCGGAGCTAGGTAAAGTGCTATCATAAAATGAACTAGAGAGAGATGGAGCTGAGTTGGAGTGCTATCATAAAATGAACTAGAGAGGTGGAGCTAAGTTTTGAGTTTAGGCTGCTTTACAACTCCACTTCAGACTCTACCCTTAGAGGTAAATTTAGAAGTTAGCTAGAGTTTTACCAAACATGCTTGTGATGGTGTGTGTGATGATTTGCACGTGAGAATGTCTTTCGTGTGACCCAAAAAGAATGAAATAATCAGATAACAAGATTCAAGCATGCAAAATGGCTGCTAGCTACACGCAAGGTGATTATTATTCTCTGGTAGTCTGGTACTGAACAGGACACTGGTCTGATGATTGGCATCAGTGCACCATTCGATTATTCCCCATGCATGCGATTTCTTATATCTTACTAATCTTCTAGCTACATGGCTCGAGACAGTGCTTAGTCATAAATTAATCAAAGAGGACAATCATCATCTTATCGACGGTTGCAGCTTTTATCTTTTATTAAGTAGCACATAAACAATGATCAGTCCTGCATAGCTTTGTAGTATCATCTTTGCCTTTCTGAAAGTAATAGTGTAATAGTAGTGCCGATATAATGTAGTACATCCTTTAAGCGTCAGAATGTATCACTGTAATGGATGTACCAAGGCCATACTCCCTCCATTTTACTCCATTTTAAAATATAAGGTATATTTGATTTCGTTGCGACAAGACTTTATTAATGATTGTTCTATTATCATATTATTTACATGATACAAAAGCATTATCATAAGTAACTACTTTTGAATACAAATCCAATAAATTTAATTTTGCATCACAAAAATTATATCCTAACAGAATAATTGTTGATCAAACCTTGTCGCGACGAAATAAAAATATGCCTTATATTTTTAAACAGATGGATTATAGAAATATGGAGTGTGTGGTGACAAATATTGTGATTAAATTGGCAAGTTAGTGGTTAAGACCATCTTTTCGACCTCTCCATTGCGAGTGACAATGATAGGGTGTCAACGAGTTGCCATGACCAATTCTAAATCATAATTTGATTCTCTTATTATCATGACCCTGAACAAGATCTCTCAACAACCAAAAGCTCATCACTCACTCACAAAGCTAGCTGCACCGACAATGAATGCTACGCGGAGGTTAGAGAAAGAATTCATGGGCCAATTAACTAGTTGGGGGTGTGATTAATCCCCATTGCATGACGTCTCATCAAAAAAATTAAATCCCCAACGACTATGCATATGCTGAACTGCACTGGCTAAAGCTAGCTCATCCGTTATTAGTCATTACCGTTCATGCACCTAATTAATAATTAAAGAAATTAAAAGGTTGATTAGCTTGACAGGAAATTCTATATAAGTAGGCCCGAATTAATTTTCATTTGGCCAAGAGTGGCTACTACATTAGTGAGGACCAGTTAATAGCAGCATTTTTGAACTAAAGTTATAGAGCCCACATTAGAAGATACGCAAATCGAGCTGTTTTGGTCACATTTTCTAAAAAAACAATGTGAGAATGGTTATTTGTATTAGGCATTTTGTTAAAAAAAATGCAGTAGACAGACAAAGGTCACTAGAGTAAAGCTCTGTTATTTACAGGTGATTGGACATATTGTAAATAATTGTTTATATATATGAAAATATTATATATTATCTAAGCAATATTAATTGATGCAGAAAGTTTGTTGATAAAATTATGAACAATTTTACAGTCCTTAAGGAGGTACCAATTTTTCTATTGTAAATTTGGTATTCTTGATACCTAGATATTATGAGGTACCAAATTTTACACTAAATTTTTAGTATTTCATGGTACTTCCTCAAGGATTGTAAAATTGCTCTAAAATTATAGTTTGAGAAACGTCATACGCATAATAATCCCATAAGTCCATAAATTGAAAAGAGTGGTTCTAACTCTCTTTCATACTGTACAATATCACACAGAGTAACTGAAATAATTGTCACTTTGTCAGTGTAATGTAATACATGTAGTACGTGCTTCTAACATCATTGCCTCAATATATTGGAATGATTAGCTATGCATGGATATGTAAAACAAAACATTTTAGTACTGTAGATGTAGAGCCAGCTACTAGATCATGCATAAGACAAGACTTTCCCTAGACAACAAAAGAGAACATAATAAAAAAGAAGACAATTAATGAGACAAGATGGCAAATTGCATAATTAGGAAGAAAAATAAGACAAAGTGACAGCTAACAATGGATCGTGACAACAGTACCACTCAACTAAGTAGTAATATTTAGCCGACTAATTAAAATAAATTAAACCATTATTAATCCCCATTTTTGTAATCCAAGCTTTATTTTTATTGTTTTTGCTGCTGCTGTAGAAGTTAAACTGTTTTCTAAGAAATATCCTCATTTCAAATGGAACCTAGCTAAATAGTGTTTTCGTATGCATATGGCTGTATTATTATTTTTTTACATTTTGTCCCTTTTAAAAACTTATTTTTACAAATAGACCCATAGAAAAACTTATTTTAGAAATAGACTCTTTCTTGCGCCAGGGTCATTGACGTTGCAGTTCAACGTCATTGGCACCAACACCCTCGCTCCTCTACGTAAGCTAAGTTACTAGAGTGAAGTGGTCGGCGTCGCGCCAATGTGTCGACCCCCTTCACATCAGTAACTTTTCTTCCTCAGTGAGGCAAGGGTAGTGAGGCAAGGGTGTCGGCGCTAATGATGACCTCGGCACCAGGGCCACTTGTGTTGAGAAAAAAAAAGCCTCTTCTTGGAATAAGGGTTTTAAAGTTTATTTATAAAATAAGTTATCAAAACAGATTAAAATGTAAAAATTTCAGGTGCAGATGGTGTCATATGAGGTTTGGCTTGCCATGTTTGGAGATTTTCTGGGGCCCAAAAGAACAGCCAATACCAGCACAAGCCAACAACAATGAAGTACCTCAAGAGTTAGGCCTACCCTAACAACTCCAACTCATCAGTGACCAGTCATCACTCATCACCTACACATACATGGCCGTGATAAGATTAAGATCTAATCTACAGTGTCAGTACATGTATGGACAATCTAAGTACAACTAATGAAGAATTATGCTTTGCTGATACGTAGTACCTCTTTTATTTTCCTTGGGCAAATAATCAAAGGACTAATATTCTGAAAAAAAAGAATAATAAAATTAAATGAGAGGACAACTGTTATAGGATTAGCCAAGAGAGGACGCAACCTGAAAATTTGGCAAAAGGCATCAAGAAATTGATGAGTCTGCAGCTAAGAGTGCCAGGAAGGAATGCTTAAAATTCAAGCCTTTGGTCATGGAGAGGCCTGGGACCAAGCTGTTTCTTTGTGCATGATGCATGCTGATAATGATGTGTATCTCTTTTCATATCTTCCATAAAAATAAAAGATATCTCCATAAGGAAATTCTTTATGGTGAGAAACGATGCAGAAAAAAATGCTTGACTTTTATCACTAGGAATCCTCTGCAATGCTCAATGCCCCTAAATTTCTCAAACATCAAGGATCTGAATCAGTTCAGACTGAAACCACCTTTGGGTGTACTGCCTCTCAACAATACTAATCCTTCTGTAGTTCTGTCAATATCAAAGTATCAGGTCTCTATCAAATATAATCAAACTGTTAATTCCGTTGGACAGGTGATGGATAATGTCATAGGAGACAGACCAACTTCTTTGGATTAATTGACAACTCCAGTGACAAGAACTAATCCTGTTTCACAGCATGAAGTCATGTGCTAGGCACCAAAAGTCTAAAGTTCTTGCTTGATCAGTAAGCCTACTGACCAAGCCTCTAAAAAGAAGCGTTAATTCATCAACCTGGTTGAGAGTGCGATCCATCATCTTTCTGATGGCCAGAGTTTGCTCTGCAAAAAGAAAAAAAAATGAAAATGACTTATGTTATTTCAATATAGAAAGTCTAAATACAAGATATTACTATAGCAATTAATTAGTTACCAAGACTTTCAGGGTAAAGCTATCGATCGAGATTAACATACCAAATTAAAAAATGATTGCAGTTTAGTGATGAACATTGTGAAAATACCACTACCATGAAAGCACATGGTGGTGATATAAATTACACAAACATGAACCACTGCAGGTTTTAGTGGCATTAACAAAGAGGGTAAGAATACTGATAGCACACCTAACAACAGCACTACACTTGTTGGCAATCTTGTTTCTTTTGTTTATTCATTAGGGAGCATCTTGCGCTCTCTCCCTCTCTCTACCAAATACTAACTACCCTTGATGACCTTGGTCGAGTCTTGACACCATTTTCAAGTCAATAATTGAATCATACCCTCCCTTTGGCCATATATCTTTCTCATCCATAGTTATGCACTGATCAAGATAACTGGGCAATAGTACTCACAAACTTTTGATCTTGTACTAGAGATGGACATAATGCTCTAATAATTATATTAATGACAGCACAAAATTTTCAATCTGAGTAGCTTGTAAAGTCTTGAAGACAGTATCAGCACGAAATTTTAAAAAATAAAAGGAGGATATATTCCCTTCTTTTCATTTTCTCATAGCCAACAACCCCATGCTACAAGTGGTCTGGATGCAATGTCCATTGGCACTCGAGTAGATTATATGAAAGCAATTGACCCAATAAATATCAACCTCTAGTTGGAACAAAAGCAACAGCAAGTAATAGACTAACAGTAACAAGAGAATGAAAAAAGAAAATCAGATCCTCCATTTTATCTGATGAACATAATAAAAAAATCTGAAGTTTGTACGTTCCTATCTTTCTCACTGAAAGATGCCAAAATACTCAGAAAGTGACGGTGAAAACTAATAACCAAGACGCAGCTATGCAACGTCGCTATCCTTTTTATTTTATGAAAATAGTACTTCTTATGCTTTTAGCTGATGAATCTACAAAGAATCATGCACCTTACAACCGCAGTGATCTAATCCAGATCTAATCTGTTTATCTCTCCAGACCTAAGGCCTGGAGAAGTTCAAGATCAGAACGGTTCTTCATGACTGGTATATATCCTATACAAAACATAGGTGCCAAAACAAGAGATGCAAGATGCAAACCTTATCGCAATGATCTCAAACTTGTCACTAGCATATTTAATTAGAATTATAGCAAATGGACCAAGACAATCCCCTGCAAAATATTTGTTACACCTCGAAAGCAAAAGAAAGGCATGTTCAACTAATATCCATCAAGTGCAATTGAGCTACAACATACTATTTTACAGTTCAGTAAGGAAAAAAAAGAAGTTCAGTTAGTAAAAAAAAAGTTCAGTGCGGTAAAAAAAAGGAATTCAGTGAGGTGAAATTTTTCTTGCCATTACCTTTTTTTTTTTCTTACCTTCAATCTCATTTATCATCACTTCAAACCATAACATGCTGCAGTACAGTATTACAAAGAGAGTGAGGCTGTTAAAAAAAAGGGATAACGATGGGGAATATGGATATATTTGTCCCACCAGAAAAGCAACCCATCTGACCTGTAAAAGTATTACGTGCAAGTTATACATATGCTCATCCTATCTCCTGAAAATACTGAGCTAACCCCATCTTCCTTGCTTCCTTCTTGTTACCCTCTCGTGCACCTTTTGCTTAGCTTCCTCTGACAAGTAAAACAAAAGGGTGTTATTTCTAGTTCCTAGGAGACATGGTAGCTCTAAGCCTGACAAATAAACCAATCTAGTATTCTAATCCAACCACTCAAATCTTGCATCACAACTAGCAAAACATGTACTACTCAATACAATATCACACAATATTGACTACAGATCACATCTCTTCTGACTAGATCCACTAAGACTGCTCTGACGACAAATTTCAACACCTGCAAGACCCTCTTATCCAATGCGCCAGTACGCAACAACTGCACCTAGTTTTTTAATGTAGCAGCACATGCTCAGGCACAAAATGATAGGGGTAGCTAGGCAAAGAATACACACACACACAAGGATGTGTTGATCTTGGATAACACATCTGCTTTATGCAACTAGCAGCTTTCCACACGCAATTTCCTTATCCAGAGCTCTGATCTTCAGTTACTTCCTCACAGCTCCATCCTACTGGGAATTCTTATCACTCTCTGTCCTTATCTGTCAAAATAGCCATTGCATTGCATAATGCCAGAAATCCAATCAGTAAGACTAACAGTAAGGTGACAATTAATCAGCAAAGGTTTTAACTGAAACATATGGTAGATGAACATATTTCTGCTCAAAGATAATTGGACTGAGAAATCTAAACCACCACCCTGAACCTATTGTAGCACTCCAGCTGCCAGGATCTCTGCATTCTAAGCCACGTTTTAATGCCAATCACAATCGTTGTTCCAAGAAACAAACATCAGAACTACAGCAATATGACACCAACAATGCACAAGGAAGCTGGCCTGATTGATGGTTTAATAGCCAGAGCTCCCCATCCACAAACTCTAATACTGACACCAAAAACAAGTGAAGCTTCGACTTCAGACTTTGATACCTAGAAATTTAGCTGGTTCAAACAAGACCAGCCCTTCGTACCAGTTGCATACTGACAACATGTTAGCATCTGAAAACAGAAAAAAAAATGCCACCTGTTAGTGGTGGTTTGCTCACTGCTTTCAAGATGAGCGCTTCCTTCATCCGGCATTTTTGTCGACAATCTATGAATTGGTGCATCCATGGCCGAATTCATGATCTGCCCTTCAACATGCCATCAACGATGCCATCGTAGGGAACAACGAATTCAGCTCCAAAGAGGGCAGTGTAGCAACGTGATACCACCAAAATGCAGCAATGACCTTATACATAGAACACAGCTCTGTGCTGAAGGCCCATCCAACCATATAATGTTAGTTGTTGCTGAACAATGGAAGCACCTAAGGAAGATGGAATCTGACAGGGATATTTGCCGGGTGGATAAAAAAGTGCAGATCTCAAGGACCACAGTATAAAGGAAACATAAAGGCACCGGGCATGTCTTCCTTGTGCTATATAATCATGAACAAATGCGTGAAAAATCTGCAAAATGTAAGCCTGCAGCGCTGCAGAATCGAAGAAGTGTATCCTGAACGCCAAATTGGTCTGAATAGATCATGAATCATGATGGATTGGGTGTCATGGAATTACTTTTTTATATTTCTTTACTTCTATGCTGTTACTCTTTTAGGTACAAGAGATTCAGTGAAATACATTTAGGAAATTAAAAAGCAATCTTGCTGGATGAGATTGACACTTCAGCTACTACATTACAAGCCTACCATTATGGTACTGGTGGTCCATCTCAGAGTTGTCACGGCACACCGTAGGGACGGTGATTGTGACTAGTATCAGGTCAATGATAAAACTGATAACTAACCCATTTCAGTACATGAGGACACATGAACAGGGATAATAAGGCACATAAACATGCTTTTGCGTCCTTGAATTCTCAACACTCGTGTTTGATCAAACAGTCCCACATATAATGGAGAACTTGTCACCTAGGCATTTAATTTAAGGGCATTTATCTCCTCTTATCCTATTTGTTGAGAAGATGCATGTAATGTAACCACAGTGTTAGCTTTGATTAATGATATATAGTGACATGAAAAATAGTTACTGCAATCTTATCTTAGAAATCCCGCGCAATCTTATCTGACAAATATGAGTGCTGGGTGTTGAACACAAACTTCAACATCATCGCAAGGATTTGCATGGAGAATGACGGCTGATATTTGACGATGAAAGGAAAATTTGCCACCAGATACCTTAAACCACAAGACTTTCACCACTACCATGCCCAAACTTGACCGCGGCTATACGACACAGTTAGACATGGAATGCATGGAAAAATGACCAACATGATCGACCGGACAATTCTATTATTTTATGATTCTGTATTCTGACCAACATGGATTTTCGTTTGAATGCTTCCTAAACTCCTAAACTATGTATTTTGTGCCAAAAAAATTCTATATAATTTTTTCTTGGAATACTTTTCTAAAGCAACTTTTCAACTTTGTAGTGGTCAATTCATTTGTTTATACCCTCAAAATAGCTATAACAAAAATAAGATAATCCATCAATTTCAGCTATCCCAAACGAGGCCGGAAAGCAATAAAATTACGAAATTGAAATTTGCGGGTGCGCGATATTATGTACTACAAACTTACAGACTACCTTTGACATAACATTAGATCTGAATTTCCTGAGAAGGTCTCCATTTGGCATACCTTTGACATTCTTTCTCCTCTGCTGTACATTGATTGATCTCACTCCACTATGGCTCTATCCCTAATCCCCTGTACACTTCAGCACTTATCCAATTGTATGTGCAACAAGCGACTATCTGACGGCAGTTAAGTTCCTACGATCACTCACTGGTCAGTGGTGCTCCTCATCTCGAAATTACTACGACTATCCCCATGGTGAAAATTATTGTACTAGCAACTAGCAATGCAGGTCTAGTTCAGTACAGTTTCTTTCCTGAGTATACAGGACCAAGCAAATTGCATATACCAAATTAAACGCTGATAGAAAGTGACCTACGGATCAAGATTGCGTTGAGCGAGACACAGAGAGAGAGAGAGAGGGTTTGGGGGGGTGGTGAGGAGATTTGAGGAAGGAGAGAGTCGTCACCGAGGAAGCGGCGCGGAGTCGTCGGCGGAGCACGCCCCCGGCGGGCGCCCGGAGACGCTCCGAAGCGCCGCGCCGCCGGTAGTTGGCGAGGCGCGGTTCACCGGCGGTGAGCAGCCGCAGCCGCAGCCGTTGGCGCAGGGGGCAACAGGCAAGATTCGTCACGGCCCACCGTGTCCTCGCTGGCCGGGCCATAAAGTTGGTGGGCCAAATTCGTTGATGGCCGCTACGTGGGCCGATTTAACTCGGAGGCCGAATTCGTTGATTGGCATTGGGTAGGCCAAATTCAGATGTGGGCTGAATTCGTCAACGGGAACAAGGTTGTCTGAATTCACTTGCGGGCCGAATTTGTTGGCGAGATTTAGGCTGTGTTATAAGGTGATGGTTGGGAAAACAGAGTGACGGATTAAGACATGGTTAATTAAATATAGCTAAAAAACCTGAAAATGGGTTAATATGATTTTTTAAAACAATTTTTCTATAATTTTTTTTAAAAAAAACGTACTCTCTCCGTTTTATATTGCCAGACTTTTTAGCATTGTCTATATTTATATAGATGTTAATAAATCTAGACATATATAGTCTAGATTCATTACTATATACTTCCTCCATACTCGTAAAGAAAGTCGTTTAGGACAATGTTTAAGTCAAACCTTGGAAATATAAATCATGATAACTCTCAAATTGTTAAGTTTGAAAATGTAAAAATTATACGAATAGATTTTTCTTGAAAATTACTTTCATAAAAAATATACATATATCACTTTTCAATAAATATTTTTATAGAAACAAGAAGTCAAAGTTGTGTTTTAGAAACCGTGTCGCTGTCCAAAACGACTTTCTTTACGAGTACGGAGGGAGTATACTATAAAGTCTTACATTGTAAAACGGAGGAAATACCGTTTAGTTATTTAGGAAGCGTGTGCGTGAAAATAGAGAGAGTAGAGTTGGGAACCTTCACCGAAGAACACAGCCTTAAGTAGGACGAATTCACTCGTGGGCACATTCGGAAGTACTCTTTCCCAACTTATATACGGTCTCTTTTTCACGCACACACTTTTTGGAACTAAAGTTCAGTTTTTTAGCTATTGCTTAATTAATCATACGCTAATGAGTTATCCGTTTTATGTGTATGTAGTTGTAAACACCCAATACCAAACACAGCCGGTACTTATGGGCCAAACTTTGGCGAATAATTAACTGGGTAGATTCAGTTCTAAGCATAATTTGTTGATGGAAATTGTAGGCGAAGTTTAGCGTTGGGTCAATTTCGTTGATGGGAATTAAGTGGGTAGAATTCACTTGTAGGCTAAACATTTCAGCGAGAAATACCTGGGTTAAATTCAATAGTGGGCCAACCTCTCGTTCGACAAATAAAGTGTAACCATGACCGCACAACCACCATTGTTGCATGTGTCGGTGCGGAGCGCTAATGCCTGACTAACCACACACGTCCATCCCATATATATGTACAACCTTTATATCCGTATAAACTTTGTATTTATATGTATAAATTTTATATGTAAGCTTTGTACTCATATAAAATTTTATATCTATATGTATCAACTCTGTATCTATATCTATATATGTATATATAAATGTTTTATTTATGTGTATATACATATGTATTATAAAAAACTATATGTATAAAATTTATATTAGACGTATAAACTTTATATTTATACATACACACACATACACATATAAATTTAGAGTAAATTTCACAAAACTACAGGTATTTTGCACAATTTATCAGAAAACTACAGATTTAAGAGCTTGTTTCACAAAACTACAGATTTAGTGTGTTCGGTTATCACAAAACTACAGGTACTTTGTACAATCTATCACAAAACTACAGATTTAAGAACTTGTTTCACAAAAATATATATTTAGTGTATTCGTTTATCATAGTGCTATATATTTAGTGTCTTCATTTATCACAAAACTACAGATTTAGTGTCTCCATTCTCACAAAACTACAGGTTTTAGCATTGTTAAAACATGTAGTTTAATGAATGAAGATATTAAACCTGTAGTTTTGTGAAACAAGTTCTTAAATCTGTATTTTTGTGATATATTGTTCAAAGTACCTGTAGTTTTGTGATAAATGAAGTCATTGAATCTGTAGTTTTGTGAAACTAGTTCTAAAATATATAGTTTTGTGATAGATTATGCAAAGTATATGTAGTTTTATAAAATTTACTCATAAATTTATAATATAAAATTTATATGTTTATGTGTACGTATATGTATAGACGTGCAAGAATAAAAAGTTTCAACAAAAGCCTCCCCAAATGAAAACCTGATAGACGATTAACGTTTTCGGCTGTTGGTGAAGGAAGTGAGCAGAGTGCGCGTCCAGGACCCTGGTGCTGGGATCTGCTGTTGCTGCAATGGAGGATTCAATCCAAGAATGGCGCAACATGTTTATCTATCGCGGGTAATTGAAAACAGATGATGTTACGCGTTGTGTTGAGATTTCTTTGATTTGTAGTTGCAAGGAGAAACAGTATAGGGAGAAGAACTGAAATTTTGATCTACAGCTAAGGCCTAATTTGATTTTGATTATTGAACGGAATATTGGCACAGATCCTTTTCTTTATTAAAAGGATTAATTAAATATTTTTAGAACATAATTTGACAAATAATTTGGTCCAAGTAGTAGTACAGTAGACAACTTTTTTTAAATACGTATTTTCAAAGCATGGAACAACTAATCTGTTTTATAATAATTTAGGGAACAAATTGGAAATAACAGGATAAATTCATTACAATAATAGTGTGCCCGTCTATGGAATTTATAGGTGTACCAATACGAAATGATAGGGGTTCGTTTGTGTGCATAGAACTGAGTCCGAACTAGATTTGCGATCATGCGCCGTGGGTTGGGAATTATGCATGAACGACATGCACATGACATTAACTGATGGATTACAGAAAATGATCGGATAAAGCCATGTTTTAACAAAAAAAAGAAAAAACGATTGCGATGCCTCGATTCTCCAGTGTGCGACGGACAAAGACAGACAATGGACTACGGACAAAGAGGTGATCGGAAGCAACTCATTTTTTTTACATTCTAGATATATGCAATGCAAGTTTCAGATTGTGCCAACAGTATTAATGTTAGTAAATTGTTATGATGCAAAGAATGGACACATATAACTAGTACACAAAAACAAAATGTTTAGATGAAAGGCACATAGGTACATATAAGATAGATACACTAAGGTGTAAAATCATAAAGCAATTGATGTGCAGTTGCGTACACATCCAACAATGGAAGCATAGCACACGTTGCCCTTTTATTCAACCAGAGGAGAAAATAAAAAAGGGTGTACAGTACATCCTCTCCTACCTCCCCAATAACAGAGAAAATAAAAGAAACATTGCAGTTAACAACAACAAACTTAGCACTCTCATCAGATAGAGGAAATTAAGAACAACTAAGAGCACATTTTCCAGTGAGAGAAAAT